ATGCCTGGTGTCCTCTGGAGACCTGGTGAGGTATGGTGGGTGCTGCAAAGGTCACCCATGAACACTCAGGGGTATCAGTCCTGGGCTACCCGAAGGCCTGCCTTCCAGGAACCCCTTGGGCCTGAAGTGCTGCTTTTTGCAAAAGGGAAAATGCCAAGACTTCCTAGGCCACCAGGGTGCTGAATCCATTGCACACAGCACGCATGGGCTGTCCAGTGAGGCGAACTCTGTCCCAACGCCGTCTCTGCTTCTGTGGGGTCATCAGCTGCACAGCCGCAGCGGTGAGGCCAATACATGCAGCACGACCTCGATAACATGACAGAGGAACCAGCACAAGTGCTGCTCTCCTCTCCCTGCAGGAAGATCACTGAGCTCCACGGGGAAGGCTGGGGAGGCTTCACAGCAAAGGCAGCATGCAGCATGTGACTGTGAGCTGAAGGCACCTCTGCTCCCTTCTGCCTGCACCTTCACCCCCTCCCTGGAGGCTTCCAGAAAGACGCCTGTAAGGCCTTGGTCATGGAGCTCTGCCTGCTGGGCTGTGGGTTTAAACAGGGAGGAAGAGCCAAGTCTACTTGCTGCTTTCACCGTGGACTCAGCTGCTTTTGCCCTGTGGTGGCTAGAAATGCCCTGGAGGCAGGAGACCGCCGGGACCATGGGTAACAGCAGTCTCCTCCGCAGATGAGGAGGATGCTTTAAGATGGTGCTCCTCATCTGGCTCACGGCCCAGCCCTACTCGGGACCCCCGGATCAGCAGCTTTAACTGCACATGACTGCCCAGCATGCTCTCATCATGTCCTTGAAATCGGACCTTACTATTTTATCCATCCTTACTTTAATGTGAGCTTTATAAAAATGACTGACCTTTACATTTTTAACTTTTTACAGAGATCAGTTAGGGTCCTGCCTGAGAAGAGGAAAGCCTGAAGATTCCACCACTGCCCCGGTCAGCCCAGCACTAGGACCTCAGGGACCAGGTAAGATGTTTTATTCAAAAGTGGACCAAATGTTTTAAGCTGGGATCAAGCTTCGGGACCCAAATTTTGCTCCTAAAATTAAGGAATTAGCAAAAACACTCCAGCAGATAAACAGGCAAAGCAAGCACACAGAACATTCATAAAAGGCATGGTAACTAGCAAACAGGAAAAACATTTAAAGCTATTATGGGGAATAGTAACAGCAGCAAAATGTCCTGTCTGAGGAAGGACAATAAATGAGAAATCTCACACAGCGCTGCTGGCAACAGAACCTTGAACAACCCTTGTCCTGGTGTGTCCTCTGCACCTCAGCGCTCTGCCCATCCCCACCCAGCCCACGCCTGCCTGCTCCACCAGCTGCCGGGCAGGGCTGTCTGTCCATCCTCCAGGACCCTGCCCTGCCACACTGGTTTGAAGCTGCTGCTCACAACACTGACCCCTGCTCTTCTACATACCACACAGACTATGCCTCACGCTTGTGCTCCGTTCCCCCATGCCAAATGCGAGGTCCACGGGCTGGACTTGGCGCCGACGTATTCTGCGCCTTGCAGTGTCCCTGCATATTTACATGCAGGCCGTCCCCACGGTCTTTTGAAAAAAGCACAACTGAAGAAAGCACAAATGAGGAAGCGTGTCTAACAACGGGGGGCCGCCCCGTGACACCGTAGCGGGAAGCCTTCGGTGTGACCGAACCAACCCCAACCCTCCTGCACACTCGACCTTTGCAAGCAGGGCCCCACGCTGGGTGCTCTGGGTGGAGCAGGGGACCCACCTGCGTCTCCCCTCAAGGAGGGTGGCGCCTCCTTTGGACTTGAGCCCACAAACTCCAAGTCCAGTAAGGCCTGGGGTTACATCAACGGCATCAGTAGTTCTCTACTTCCTATCTCATGATTTTCACCATTTTAAAAAGTCAATTATCAATGAAATTACAGTGACTTCTCTCCATAGGTTCTCTGACGCCCGTCGGAGCTTCCCAACTCTAGGCCCACCACTGAGGGCTGCTGCTTCCTTGGGCTCGGCCTGCAGCCCCTGCTGCCTCCTCACCAGTGACACAGCCCTACATTCTGGCCGCTGGCCCAGTCCTGGGGTGGGTGGCAGCCGGGCAGCGGGCAGAGACCCTCAACACTCAGAGCCACAGTGCACAAGCTCCACTCCAGCTTGGAAACCCTCCAGCTGCGACGGGCATGTCACAGAGGCTCGGGAGGACGTGGGCACGTCTACTGTGAGCTGGCCCTGAGGAGCAGCAGGGAGCCTGGCCTCGGTGGGCCGAGCCGGCCTGGTGCAGACGGTGCCACCTTGATGTGGGCCAGGACATTGCTACGTGACTTCCAGAAAGCAGGCTATTCTGAGTTGGGAGCAGCAAGGCCATGGAGTCTGAGAGGTGCGCTTGTCTTTGCCCTTTCACTGTGCTCTCACTGCTTCCCCTTTTCACGACCTACAAGAATGTAGTTGGGGGGTTTCATCCAGATGTAGGCTTATCAGTGAACATGTCCTCTCTGAGAAGCTCCCTTTACACAGAGTGGGGGCAAGGTCAGCCCCTCCTGGTCCATCCTGTGAAGTCTCCCCCTCTCTACTTAACACTCTGTTTCCCTAAACACAGGATATCGGCCCTGGGCCAGCTCATTATTCTTTAGAATTGCTAACCATGTAAATGCTCCCAAGTGTGTCATTAAAATTTGACCTTCTCTCCTAATGTGTTCTCTGTCCGCCTAGCAGCAGAAGGCTGGGGTTGTTTCCTCGCACCCTGACTCTACCTTTGGGTGCGTACACACAATGCCATCTACAGCACCAGCCCCTCGGACCCACAAGAGGCCGACAAGTGATCACTAACACCGGAACAGTGCTCTGTAGATTACACAACATATTATGTGAGTGCAGGGGCTCATGATGAGCATGGAAAAGGGGGGAAAGTAGGAGCACAGCTGACGAGAGCAGCTCGGCACCGGTTGCGGCAGGAGAGACGTGCAGCACAGCTCAGCCCCAGAAACCATCTCCGAGAAGAAATACAAGGCCTGCACTTCAGAAAATAACTGGAGGATGGTGCAGAGGTAGAAATCCAGGAGCAAAGCCAGTGGGTTAGGAGATAAGAGCAGGACGCTGTGCCAGAGTGAGCTGGGAGGCCGAGGGCCAGGGGCAGGCCCAGGGCCGGGGAGGGGCCAGGAGGTGGCATACCAGTCCACTGGTGTAAGGTGAGGGGACCCCAGCACAACGTGGGTGTAAAGAAATGGGATGACAGGGAAAGAGATGTTCAGAGGGTCTTCATGAGTGAAGCCAGGAGAAGTCGGGATTAGCAGCACTCAGGGACTCAAGGGGAGTAGAGAACATTCTGTTTCAAGAGCAAAGGAAGACTAACAGAGCTCATTTTGGGGCCACAGGGGTCAAAGGCAAATCCCTGCCACAGCAGACCTCTTAGCAAGCCCTGCGCGTCTCACACAGATTTGGGATGCGGCACCAAAGAGAGGAGGACTGAATTAAGGGCTGACTGAGAACCAGGAAGGATGTAGGGCCTCAAAACACTGAGAAAGAGCCTCTGAAGTGAGACACATGCACAGGCCAGGCTGCCACGTGAAGCCTGCACCAGCAGCAGAGCTGAACAGAGGTCATATGGAATGAAAGTCAGAATCACGTTGACAAGAAACTTGTTAACTTGCTAATTTATAATTTTTACCTTATCTGATAGGCATGAAAGCTAATAAAATCACTGGGCACCTTCACGTACAGAAACTAGAACTAGTCAAACTCAATGCTTCAAAACTTTTGCTGAAATTAGACAAACTCTTCTCATCAATAAACATCCAAAGGACATTCCAAATCTGTTTTTATTTATAAATTGCATATCTCAGAAAGTCTGGAATAAAATGAAGTTTCAACAGGAAGTCAGCACATTCCCCTAGACCTGCCTGTTGCTAAGACTGGGGGGGGGGGTGAGGGGGGGGCTTAGAAGCTCTAGAGATTGGATCTTGATAGCAGAACTTCAAATGTTCCCATTCTTGCCAAGGAAGTGCCACACTTGGTCTGTGTTTGAAAAGGGGGAGAAGGGTGTGAGGGAAGGGGTGAAGAGGGAAGAAGGGAGGAGGATAAGACAAATTAAATTCAGACCTTTAGGAAGTTTCAGGAAGACAAAACCAACCACAAGTTTAGCAGGACATATTTCTCTGTTCAAAGCTACTCCCCTGGTCCTAAGTGCACTCCCTGGGCTTAAACCTTATATGAAACTGAACCTTCCTACTTTATTTCCAGATCACATTAGTCACTACTGATAATAGAAGTTAGTGCCCGAGTTACAGCAAGAAGAGGCTGGAAGAACTCCATACTGTAAGTCTGGCTGGCTGCTCAGTACCCCAAATGGGAGGGTTCTGCAGAGAAGGGCTCCGCGAGCTTCCCCAAGCAGCGCCAGCTCCGCCGTGACCCCAGGTCTGGGGGCTGCTCCTTTCTCACCATCTCAGAACTTGACTCTATTCTCATTTTCCCTCCAAATTTGCGAACTGAATACACTTCTAATGTTTTACACTAAAACAAAACCTTGCAATATTTCAAAATACAAATGATATGAACATTTGCTGGTATTTTGAAAATTTTATGACGTTAACATTTTTACTTGTTTCTTAAGACAGCTTCAAATCTTTGTAATAAAAATATGGTACCTTTAATCCTACTATAACTTAAATTTTGATTATAAAGTCTTCAGGCAACTCTCCAGTGACTCATTAGAACGATGAGGCATAAAAAAGTTTCCCAGATTCAGACATGTGAGTCTTTTCAAATTTATCAAATTACCTGGAATCGCTCAGCTCATCACACAAAAGAAGTCACTACATAATTAAACTATTTTCTAACCTGAAAGTAATAAACACGCTCCTTTTCATTTTCTGCAATTAGAAGACATGCCACCTGAAAATGTTAATGACTATCGATAAAAGTACTTTACTTAGGTTATATGACTTTTAAATTAACTGATTGATTTGGGGGAGGATTTCACTAAAATAAACATAACTCTAGCTCCTCAAAAACCAAAATCTACCGTACCTTCCTCGTTGCTCTCTTTACCCGGTGAAGACGGCACCTGGAACAGAAGAGCAGAGAGTCACCATCCATTGAATACTTAGATGTGGAAACTAATCGGAAGTTTGTTTTTCATGAAATTATAACATAAAGTTTACACACTACGATTCTCTAACCTGAAAAGAGTAAATATTTCTCTTTGCCTCTTATCATTGATTGTTCTTTCAGATAAACGAATCAGATTTGAGAATCAAGTAGAAAAAGCAGGCTTGAAACCACTTCTTCTGATTAATCCATGGGAGTCACCCAAGGCTGCATAGCTGAGAATGTGGAAAGGACAGGGGATTTCCTTCAATTACTTTTTTGGCTGAGGTCTTGAGAACAAACGTCACACACACCTTCTACAAGTGCACGCACATGCACACACCCACATCTCATTCACTCAGCTGCCACCTAGAGCTTTCCAATCAATTTTCTGTTTATTCCAATGACTGAGTCAATATTCATGGAGCAGACGTGATGTAATCTGTGGTAGACAACTTTAAGTTTTCTCTGAGCTACGAGCTTGTTTCCTAATTAAGAACATTCTCAAACTGCCTTCTCAGGAGAGCCTTTATCCAGAGGAATGCAAGCTGGCCAGGAGCAGAACGGCGGAGACGGGGCTGTCCTCTCCTGCTGTACCTCCTCTCCCGGGGTGTACCACTACCCTGACTTTGCAGCACACTCCTCAGATGTCAAGTTGAACAGTTGCCTTCTACATCCCCCAACATTCACCCGGCATAGGTAAGAGTGGCCTCTGAACCCCCAAGGTCGGAGAAGAGATACAGGAGGGCCACACAACACACACGCCAATATTCAAGTCACATGCCAAACAAACAGACGACCTGAGGATGAAGTGTGCCCATCCACAGCCTTGATGAGCAGACTCTGCAAGGCCTCATAAGCTCCCTCCAGGACCTGGACACTGTACAGATGTCTGGATCTGGCACAGAAAGGCCAGGACACTCCCTCTGTCTCCTCCTGAGTCAGCCTCATAACTACTGCGAGGGTCTCAGTGCACAAGTGCAGAAATCCAGCCCATACACCTGAAAATCCTCTGCCACCCTCTGCAAGGTAACTGAGAAGCTCACGGACCACATGGGGTGTGTGTTTGGGTTTGTGGGTGTGTGTGTGGGGGGTGGGGCGGGAAGCCTCTGAAAACAGGTGTGAAGCTGTCTGAGCAGGAGATTCCCAGGTCCTGGGTAGCCAGAAGGCAATCAGGAATGGAGACTTGGGACCCTGGCAGGGCCATACCTTAAATAGTCTGACCCACAAGAAACACTGGGCAAGTTTTGACACACACTGATTCCACTGTCTTCAATTTCAAATATTTTAAGATTTCTTATAACTCATTTTTTGAGGCATGATTTATTTAGAAGTGTTTTAGTTTTCAAGCAAACTTGGCAAAGTTTGGAGACAATGCTTGATTGTTGTGAGTCAGAGGTAGGTGGGTGTGCTCTGTCGCCTGCTGGGTAGAGCACAGGGATGCTATAAACATCCTACAAAAAACAGGAGCACTCCCACAACAAAGAATGTGCTAGTCCCAAATGGGGTTTATTTCTTTTAATATTTTTGTAATTGACTAGTACCTTTATTATAGTATAGACAGAGAATGCGTGTGATTTGCATGATGCCACCTCTGCATCTTTTGCAACTTTCTGGCCAAACATACTCTGTCTCGTAGTCAAAAGGCCAAGAAGCGATCTAGACAATTTTTGGAAGCATCTGTGTGTATTAGAAAAAACTATGTGATACTTTAATTAATGATGTGTATCTACTGGACTAAACTTATAAATTAGCTCGGGGGATGGGGGTGATGGGCAGTGCATCCAGCCTCTCCGTCCAGTGTGCAGATCTATATACAAACCTTGCTTCTGACACAGTTAGGTTTTCCTGCTTGCAAATAATTCAAACATCGACATTCATAAACACAGCCAATCATTCTTTTCATTATTTCAATTCTCCTTCTAATATCTCCCCAGACCTAACTATGGCAAACTACTTCTGCAGATATTTTCTATTTGTTTTCTGAAAATGCTTCCTAGTAATATTCCTGGGGTTGTTGGTTTTTATTTTATCTTATTGTAGTGATGACCTTCTTGGTAACTGAGTTGTACATGTAGTTGGTTGACTACTCACTGATTTGTTTGGTCATTAAGAAACACACTTGCTTTTGATCAAGTGTGTTTTCAATCAATTTATACTCACCAGAATGTAATTCCTGGAACAGTTCTATTAATCACTCAAAAGATGGGTCCACTTCCTTTCCTTATGTATTTTAAAATAATCTGTTCAGCAATGCAAGTACTTTACCCTAAAATTTCACTTAGTCAACTCATCCCAAGCATTGTCAATATATACATCAAGGTAGCGAAATGTCCACCACTATCTGACCTTGTTCTAACTATATTTCATACACATTTAACATCTGCAGCTCAGTGTCAAGATAACGTTACTTGGGTGTATTTCACGTTTTGTGTGTGTGTGTGGGGGGGGTGATTTTTAAAAACCACTGATAAACCTTGGGGTTATAATTTGTTTCCCTACAAACTGAGGGCTGATATGGTCTGAGCATGATCAAGTTTGATGGATGGCTCCAACACCTGAAGTTATTCTGAGCAACTGAAGGCGAATGAATTGGAAGACCCTGATGTGGGTTCAGTATGTCTCGTGTGGTATAACAGAGAGAGCTGGTGCTCGAGGACGAAGTAATTCTGATTCTGACACCTTAATGTGGTTCTGCATACATAACTATGAAGTCACAGTGCTGGGACCACGAGCACTGCGTTATTACATGTTGATTCTGAGAAAGCATTACTTAAGCCGGGGGCTGAATTGCCAGTGAGGCTGCTGACAAGCAATTTTCTGACTTGCAGATTTTTAATGGAGAAATGGCATATATGGCAAGTTGTGTTTGATATTCAACTGTAATATCTTCACTGAAAAATAAGTGCAGTCCCTTCTTTATCATGAAGCACAATGCAGTTGCCAGACCCTCGTTAAAGCTGGAGTTACTGATCTTATTTCTAGGTTTTGTGCCCAAATCTATCATATCCTGTCTTCCAATTATTTTCTTTTGAAGATAATTATTTTCCTACTAATATGATAGGAAACAATTAAAAAACAGAGATAAAACTTTAATTGTTTTTTTAAATTTTAAGACTCTAGTACTAGTTCTAAATCCAAATCTAAAATAAACTCATCCAGAATGCCTTCCCTGCATCATTCACTCTGCGTCCTCCACCGTCCTCCTCACTATAACCCAAGGCCGTACCACTACTTCAGTCAAGCAATGGTTCCTTATCACATCCAGAGTAAGCACAAAAACTCTTAAAATCATCTCTACATGGTCTTTCATAATTTGCTTCATTTCCACCCCCAGGTGCAAACATTTCTCGTCGTCTCTACCGCCCACTGAAACAGCCAGGGCTTGCCTTCTGTCCCATTCACCGTCCTTGCGCGCCTAGGACGCGAGCTGTGGGGGGCAGGGACTTGTGCCTTTCTCTAGTGCTGCACTGCCAGCATAAGAACCTGACCACAGAGCAGGTGCTGATCAACCACTGATGAATTAGTAAAAATAATAAATTCAAAGCAGCTGGAGGGAACCAATATTTTGTTGTTCTGAAGGAAAGATCTAATTTTTTAAAAATAAAATTTAATTTGTAAAGTGGGATTGCCAGCCTAAGATCACACCTGAAAATACATTACTTGCTTATCTGAATATGAACCTTCTTTTTCTGTGCTGTCTAAATAAATCAGGCATTAATTTGCTAATAAATGCAGTTGCCTCCAGCCAGCATTATCACTAAGACACATAAAAACCTAAGGGTATCGATTTAGGTAGGAAAAGGAAAGCCAAGGAGATAGTCAAGCTAAGTGGAAAAAAAGGTAAAGGCATTATTTAATTTTTCTTCCACTGATACGCACCTGTAATTTTGACACTGGTGGGAAAGAACTTATGGGACCAGAATAGCACAGAGAAGAGCAAATATTACCAACAACAGGTAATGGGGGGCGGGGAGGGGGCGGCATAGGAAAAAGAACATTACGTCCAAACATTACATGGTCAACAAACTTTAGAAAGTTCCATTTAAAAACTCAACTAAGGGCCTCCCTAGTGGTGCAAAGGGTTAAGACGCAACCTAAGAAGCTGTCCGCAGCCACTGCAGCACGAGTTCGATCCCCGGTAGGCCAGGGAGCTACACACATGGAGCAGCAGATCTCTCCTGTCTCGCCTACTGCTCCTCCCCTCAAAAGTGTATTTCAGTCAGCCTGCCCATGCTGTTCCCTGCTCTGTCTCTGGTGAGTCCTCTCACCCCCTCTACACCTCTGGCCTGTACCCCAGTTCTTGTATGCATAGATAAATAAATCTTTTAAATAAAATAAAAACTCAACTAAAGGGATTTAATCCCTTTAAATACAGGGGATTAAATCCCCTGTATTTAAAAAACTGATTTTACTGTTAATTTTTAACTTTATGCTTCTCAAAAGACTTGATATCTTCATTACTATTCTTTCCAGAATTTCTACTAGGTTCCCCCCTAGCAGGTCCCCCGTAACCCCATGATGTTTTTAAAAAGGAAGGACACTGTGGACACTCTTCTTACCGATTGAACTAAGGATCTTGCTTCCTCCTGAGAGCAGTGGAACGGGCTTTCACACATGTGCACGTTTGTGCTATAGAGGAAAAGAGAATTTTATTAAAGAGGGGAAAGGAGAAATCACAGAAAGAAAACCTGCCGGAGATCTCCACACTGACTGTAGGATTCCACTCAACAAAAAAGAAAAAAAAAAAAGACCTGATTGAAAACAAATTAGGGCAATTAAGATTACTGTTCATTCTTTTAGGCAAGATTATTGTGCATTCTTTTTAGCACTACACTCTGCAGAATCAAAAAAATTTTTAAAAGATATTATGCAAATCTAAAAGCCTCCTGGTACAAGGCTCTCAGTCAAATACACTGCACCTTCACTGAAGAGCTCCCGGCCCACAGGATGTGGTGATGTGATAAACAGTGTCTCCGGGCAACGCTCTGGAATTTCCTTCTCAGACAGGTATGAGGCGTCTGCTCAGCCGTGAGAGGAGCCTCTGAATATGAAAATTCAGCTTCACACGGGAGGACACTCAGCAAAGTGTGGACAGCAGGCCCTGCCATGACTATCAGGATGCCAGGAGGTCAAAGGCCTCCCAGTAGGGATGAGGTGCTCACAGCTGCCGCCTGTGCATCCTGGTTCCTGCCTCCTGACCAAACAGAGGCAGCGGCCCTGTCAGACACAGTAAGTCTGACTTTCAGGCATTTCACCACAGGACTCACCAGGTTACGAAGGATGCAGAGAGGCAGTAATGAAGGGAGTTAAAGCCAAATTAAATGTTTTTAATAGAAACAGCGATGAGCAGAAGCTGAATGGAGGAGCGGATCAAATGAAGCATACCCACATCGGCGGATGTCAAGGATATGCTCTGCCCGCTTGGTTTCCGTGAGGACTTAGTGAAATACCTCGGATAGATATGACGAAACCACCTGTCTGGTGAGTCATCTTTTTACCTTTTTAAGAATAAAATTTGAAGAATAAAATTTGATGAAAGTTGGCATTGTCATCTTTTAGACTGTAGTTCTTTTACACAGTCTAGGTCAAAGTAACCTGAAATTTGAAAAACATAAGACTTATAAGTCATATGTTTCCCTAAAGGAAGTCAAAACTGAAAAGAACAAGGTAAAAAGCTGGTAGTGCCAAGTCTCAGCACTGGTCCTGTGGAGAGACCTGGTGTGCACTAAATGTGCCACGTATCTTTCATTTTTCTTCCACTGAAGGGGACACAAGGCAGACATTCCTCAGAAATTCTGGGGAAATGGGGGTGAGTGAACTAGGGAGTCTTCTTTAAATAGGGTTGTCAGATAAAGTACAGGACATCTAATTCAAACTGAATTTCCCATAAACATCAAACTAATTTTTAGGGTAGGTATGCCCCAAGTATTGCATTAGACATGTTTATATGAAAAAGATGTGTAGCTCCGAAATTTAATTTACCTGGGTGTCCTCTATTTTTCTGTTATCGGATAACCTATTCCTAAAGTATTCTCTACTCCCACAACAAAGCAAAAGCAACAGAAATATCAGAAGAGACAGTAACAAAGCCAGCAGTAAATTTTTTAAACTCAGAATAACTTTTTAAATGTCTTAATAACATACCTTGAGGAGAAACTAGCAGAACCTGGGCAAGCGGACAGGCTCTGCCATGGGCCACACGGAGAGGCAGTGGGCAGCGCAGCGGGCAGCATTCGTGGATGGCAAGAATGGGAACTACACACAGATGGGTGCAAGAGATGCCCCAATGTAGGACGTGAGCTCACAAGCCCCCGTTAGTACTCCTCCATAGGCTCTCACGTTAGCATTTCATCAGCCAGCTTCCTTACTGACACAGGTTTAGTTAATCTAGTATGATCTAGGCTGTAACATGCTTTTCTCAGGATTTAATAAAGTGATTCTTACCGTGAATGATTGAAAGTGTAATAAAAAGATTATCAAGAAACATATTTCTTTCCTCTGTATTGGATCTTCTGTAAAAAGTTACTACTGATTTATATTTACTTACTGATTAAAAAAATAAACACAGCTAGGATATTTCTAGATGCTGGAGGTCCAATGCCACCCTGTAGGGGTCTGGCGCTCAGGCTGTGACTGGGCTCTAGGGAGCGTGTAGTCACTGAGGCAGGCGCCCGCTATCGATGGGCAAGAGAGCCTGATGAAGACAGTGCTTCCTGTAGCACCTGCCTTTTCACAAGACACTAAACACTGTGCCCTAAACTGTAAGGCCGAAATACACTCTTGCTAAACAAGAAAAGCAGACATAAGCTGAGTGCAAAAGGTGGGCAAAATCAAAAATGCCAATTGAGCCTGGCTACACCTAAACACCACAGAAAAGTGGATCAGCCGACTAAATAAACAGGATTACCTGCAAATATTAAACAGACACATGAAAGATGAAATTTACAGGCCAGCAATATAGAACTTTAGGAAAGAAAAAAATTAGCTTTTTCAGGATGCACAGTTTCGAGAATCCTTCGAGACCAAGCCTGAGATGCAGCTCTGTCAAGGGTTTTCATTCTTAAGCAGGGTAAGGAAAAAAGACTAGAATGAATTTAAACTGACAAAAATGACAGCAATTTTGGACCATAACCTCTACAGCCTGTAGAAGGAACATGATGGTGCAGTAAAAAGAAACAATTGCAAGACCTAAACAATTTATATAAATGAAAATATGTGTGTGTGTGTGTGTGTGTGTGTGCACTTTAACTCAGTAAGCACTAGTGCTAAGGCACAAACTCAGTTCACAACACAGGAAGAACACACCCAAGTGCCCACAAGGTAGGTCCAGTGAGGAGAGCACGGGGAGAATGGCCAGAGCGGAGAATGGCCCGGAAGACACAAGCGTCCAGCAGAGCTGGCACCAAGGAGCTGTGTGTCCCTGAAGGAAAGAGGAAGTTTCCGGCAGGACCCAGGTTGGAACAGGAGGTCTGGACAGACTGACTGACAGAGACAGCAGGACTATATTCTATCATCAAAGAGACCCACACAAGAGGTCTGTAAGCACAAAAGGATAACCACATTTGTATTTTTCAAATACAGCACTACATAGAATATATTATACAGGAGTGCAGTTGCAATATAAAATGATCTATGAGTACAGAAATGATAAGCAACTGAATTAAAAGTTTTATAACTAGAAGGGCATTTGAGAATCAATCAAAACTTGAAGAATTCTGAGAACAAATAATCACAATAAATAATGGTTAGTGAAATCAAATAAACTGATAAAATAAGACACTTCTGATTTCTTTTAATAATGTAGATAAATAAACTCTGCTTGAAGAGAGGGTAAGAGGAATTGAGAAAATCAAGTCTCAAGAAACTATAGTTGACCCCCATGAACATAACAGGAGTTAGGTGCCAAGAACCAAGGCTGACCTCTGACTCCCCAAAACTGGCACAGCCCGCTCTGCCAGGAGCCTTCTCCAGCACAGGGGATGGCCCAGTGACATGGGTTCTGTGTGTAACAGATTGCACTTGGTGTACCCTTACAACAGGGCTAGAGGAAAGAGGAAGAAATCGAAAGGGAGAGAACACACATTTTCAGTTCTGGACTACAGGTACTAGAACAACTGTGTAGACAGGGGTCGACTGTCTATTTCTCCCACACTGGTGTAAAGTTACTTTAGGAAAGAATAGAAATATTGAAATTCTTCCCATTAAGGGAATATGTAGGTGGAAGTAAACAATGAAAGAAAAATAAATATTAACAAAACTTATGTGATACACAGGGTTAAAGTGTCAATGGGGGCCTCCACGGTAGCACTGTGGATTGAGCATAGCGATGTGAAGCTGTCCGCAGCCTCTGCAGCACGGGTTCGATTCCCGGCCGGCCAGCAAAATTCCCACATGATGCGGCAGACCTCTCCTGTCTCGCCCGCTGCTCCCCTCAGCAGTGCTTTCGGTCCATCTACCTGTTCTGCTCTGGACGCTCTGTCTCTAACGAATCCTCTCACATTCCGATGCCTCTGCCATACACCCCAGCTCTTGTATAAATAAATCTTTAAAAAATATACAAATGAATAATTTTTAAAAATTTTAAAAAATAAAGTATCAGTGGATGAATTTAATCCACAAACGGGTCCTGTGAACAGAAGATTCCCTACTCAAATGAGGAAATAGGTATTTGTTGGTGCTGAAACAAGCACTCAACAATGCACCCCAGAGCCGCACAGGGGAGCCACCCCAGGCTGGCCACTGCAGGGCAGGGGGGCAGGGCACAGGAACAGGCAGCTCAGGATATGCTAAAAATTTTTAAGCTAAAACAATTTACTTTGCTGTGTTCTTTAAAAATGCATTGGTCAAGAGGTTTGGAATGTTACTTCTACCTCCACTGGTGTGGCCTTCCTTGCACAGGCAATGAATGGCTCTGGGCCTTAACTTCCTTAGATGTACAATGGGGGACACAGGAGACCACGTGAGGGCTAATAGGTAACATATAAGACACGCAGAACCTGGGGTGTGCAGAGTCCAGTAAGCATCAGCACCCCCATGAAGGAGGCCCTTACCCCAGCCAGGAGGCTAGACAAATGGCCCAGCACTTAGCAGTAATGCCCCTCCTCTGGCTGAGAGTCTGCAGCTGCACAGGAGAATTCTAGCAGGCTGCAGGAGACCCACAAGCGGCCTAGAACTGTCAACTGAGGAAGCAGGAACACAGGCAGGCCCCGCAAGGCAGCAAAAGCTTCTCAGTGAGCGCCACAGGAAGGACGCTTAGGTAAGTAAGCAGGCAGCAAGCAAACACTCTTCAGATGATCTTGTCTCCATGGGGGAGCTCCACCACTAAAAACTGATCATAAACAGCTCGGTCTGCCTGTCACTGGGACAGCCATGCCTAGAAAACTTCTGTTGAACCCAGTTTTGTTGTTAATAACTGTACAATTAAAGTAATACTTACCTAAACACTAAGACTATGCTTAAAAAACCAAACAGGTAAGAATACAGGGAAGTGACATCAGTGAGTGGACAGCGTAGTATGCCTTCAGGCTGGGAGGCCCAAGCACCCACGGTAGGGGGAAGGCCAGCCTCTCTATGACCTGGCTGGACACTGCCTTAGACTGGCTGCCTTGCTCCTCACTCCTCTAGCAGCTCCCAGGGTCTCTGGTCCCCCAGACCTCACGATCAGCCAGGGCTCTGTTCCTCTGTGCTGACAGCAGGCCCTCATAGGCTTGGCTCCAAGAGTGCGGGGGCCTGGACTCCTGGGTCAGGAGGGCACAGGGACTCCGCCCCACTCCATTCTCCAGACACCTGGCACTTTGCTTCCTGCAGTCAGGCTCACCAAGGGCAGCTGCTTCTGTTCCCAAACCACTGTCCGAGGGACTGAGTTCACAGTGTGGGCAGGAATCAAACACACCGTGAACAGAGTGGGAAAAGCAAACAGGAAGCCCTAAAACCACAGAGGCCGCAGACACTGCTGAGGCTCTAAGAAGCCTCGGTAAAGGGGAATCTCTATAAAAACTTGATGTCGGCTACACGTGGGTAAGAAAACCATGAAAGGATAGAAAAAAGAACCCTAAAAATCTGTAAAAGCATAAGGAGCTCAAGGATTACAGGATGTGATCTTTATTTTCTGTTATATATTACATTAGAATATAAAAAATCCATATGGACACTATATAGAAAAGATCTTAGCCCTATGTCCATAAATGTGCAACTGAAAGTTCTAAAGTAAAATGAAATGTTATGTTACTATTGCTTGGTTTCCTTTAATCAGTCAGTCAGGGACCCAGCTCATGCCGGGTGAGAAGGCTCTGACTATTCTCATCAGATGAGGTGCCAGTTATCACAAGGAAAATAACAACATTTGCATGTTGAAAACCATAATTTTTTTACTCTATTTTGCACAAATATTTTGCGAAAAGGGACCAAGTCAAGTCCCAGTTTCATGGAGTCCAGCACCTGTGATGCCTTCCAAATATTTGTTCTATAAGTACTTTTTAAATTAAAGGGAAAAGCTGCAATTCTCTTTTTATAAAAATCAGATTGAGTATAATAAGTGGCTGTTTAGCACCAATAAATGATAACATTACACAGAAAAGACAAATTCTCACCAGTTTATAGCACCTCCATCACACTTCTTCATCAGCAGTTCTTTCCAACATTCATGAGCAGATTTGATGACTTCAAGAGCAAAAGCCTAGGTGCAAACCAAAGAAAGAGCAACTGCATCACCACATGCAGGCAAGGAGCCGTTAAGAGTGAGGATGTGGGCTCAGGAGCTGCACAGACTTGAGCGTGGATCCTGGCCAGCAGGGTGCCTGGGCAGGCAGCTCATGTCTCCATCTGTGACTCGGGATTGAAAGGGGGACCCCAAAGCCAGGGGCCAGCAAAGGAGGGCCAATGCCGCCACCTGGCTCTTGTCAGTGCTGTTCATGGTGTGGTGTGCATGAAGGACAGCAACCGCTCCAGGCCACAGCAGCAGAGCTGGGCGGCCAAGACTGTGACCCAAGGCCCCACACAGCCTGAAACGTTCACTCCCTGGTCCATGACAGCAAAGCCTGCTAACCCCTGCCTGAAATCAGAGCTGCTGAGGACAGAGGAGCTGCTGTTTATGAAGTGCTTAACCCAGCACCTGCTGGCCCCACCTTCACAGACTTGCCATTTCAGACCAGGCCCTGTCTCGGGGCAGTAAACCTCCCCAATACCTTCAAGTTTTGTTTCTTAGTATGAATACACATGGTGTCTAAAAGTGCCAAATCAACAACAAATGTACCTGTCACCTCATCTAGAAAGACCATCTTTGTTCAGCTTTCTTATTCTAAAGCAGAAATTTTTTTAGATTTTTTTCTCAAAAATGTCGCTAATTCTCAAGTAGAGTTCTTACGTATTAATTAATTCATAGTAGCTCCTTCTTCCTTCAGTAGCAACCAAACACGTTACAAGAAGAGAGAAAGAAAGTTAATTGTCTTGGGAACTGAAACACAGCCATGGGCACTCCATTCTGAAGAGGAATCTGAGGAGGAGGAAGAGCAGACCTCCACTCTCACTGAGGAGGTGCTGGAGAGTCCTGATTGTGGGACAGGAAACCCCAGGTATTATCTAGATATTGCAAGGAGAGATGGTGAACCAAATCACAAAGACAAAAATGATCACTTCAGGCTCCCCTGCAGTACTTGCATGAAGGCGCGGGCAGGAAAAATGGCCACGGCCGTGCCTCCCACCAGGCTGAGAGGCATGACCCAACTTTCCTGAGTCAGACACAATTACATAAAAAACAGCAGTACAAAGCAACGCCAACAATGATGGCTTTTTGAAAGGAGGTTGCATGGATGACCTAATCTTCATTCAGAAAAGAATTAATGTTTATCAAAATCAAAAAGCAAAACCACCTCATTCTTTTATAATTCATGGTTTGACACTTTTACCCTGAAGCAGCATGGGGCCATAAAAACCCTGCATATTTTTGAAATTTATGTTATTTTGGGTATAAAACACAACATATTTTTGAGGAAAAAGATAAAAAATATATTTATATGTCTTCAATATTTTAAAAGAGAATCAACTCTAAAATTATAGTTCCTATTTATATTTAATAATCCAAGGTCCTGAAGATCTGAAGGGTTCTTTTTAAAAAATGCTGGGACTAGTGATAAACTCTTGTGTAGTATAATGCTTACTGTACATACCACGTTTTCATTCAAATGGCCTACTTTCCTTACAAAACAGATGTTCCTTATTAGCACCCGCTTCAATGTCAGCTTATATAATATGTAACTTAAGCAGTGGTAGTATCTTTTTAAAAGACATTTCAAATTCTAGACTTTAATTCTCTGGCCTATTTTCTCTATTTGTGTATTAGAGACACTTAACGGCAACTGTAGTAGCCCAGTAGAAAACCCCATGACAGTAAGACACTTCCAGTGCTTTCTTAATTGCTGAGCAGGGTAATTCAAACATTGCCGAATGAGCACTTAGGAGCTCCAGAGGGGGTTACATGAACGCCCAGGAACTCTCCCCCAGAGTGGGAAATAATACACAATTTGTGGAGTTGTTGGACTGATGAGGAAATTCCTCCATTTTCTGAGATGAATGCAATCCTGAGAGACAGCTGGAAACAGATATTTATCAGCCTTACCAATTCAGTCAGACCTCTTGAAAAAAACCTATAAGTAAAAATAATAATGTCCTTACCAATGAAAGTCAGTGAGAAAAGCACTTTTGCTATCATGCTTTATATATAAACATTCACACAAAAAAGCCTCCCAAATGAACAAACATTGCAGAGGTATCATGAAATAGGTTGCACAATAAAAATCTCCACCTTGTTTTTGAATTCTCCATTAAATGCGAACTGGTTTTCTGGTTTTCCATCTGGGATCTTATACAATCTAAACCAATTCAGCGTGGCTTCCAAATAACCTGGCTTGTACTTCTTAACATCATCAATATCTGTAAACGAGGACACAAAAGACTTGTTAAAAATCACACTTTCTCGAGCAGTCAGAAGGCACTGCGTCCAGCCCGGCTCGGTGGCAGCAGCACAAAGTCTGCACGCATCTCCCCTAGGATGTCCGTTTTCCCAAATGCAAACTGAAATCCTTTCATCTACGCACACTTCTCGAGCCCTGCACACAGGTGTCGCACAGCGGCCGGCACATGATGCCTCAAAGCTCTCCTCTTTGGGAAGCCCCAAGGTGTAATCAAAGGAAGCAGACAATGAGCAGACTTCAGGCAGAAGTGAGAAGAGGGTTAACAGAGCCCCAGCCAGGCGATGGGCCCCGCACGGGAGGTGAGAGAAAGCACCATGAGAGCGGGCCACCAGCCAGCAGAGGAGGAGAGGCAGAGGGGTACCATGGGTCGGAGGAAGAACTGCAAGCCATAGAACACAGACCCAGATGTTTCCGGGCTGTTAGGAGGCAGGGGCTAGGAGACACCCCACAGGGCCAAGGGCTCAATGATGTCATTCGGGGACAGTGGAGGTGGAGGGTGCTGACGAGGGAAGATTCAGGATCCATGTTCCAGAAATATGAGGTGAAGGAGAAGAGAGAAGAGAGGGTGGCGCCCAGAGCAGAGCACATGGGCGCCTGCACGCCAAGCATCTAGCCAGTTCTCACCATGTGTCAGGCGCTGTTCTAAGCAGGGAAACAGAACAGTGGACAGGACAAGGCCCCATTCTCATGGCTTACACAGCAGAAGAGACAGACAACCAGTAAAGAAACAAACACAAAATGCTAAGTAGTGGAAAGTTCCATTAAGAAAAAGAAAGTGAAGTAAAGGAGACAGTGTGGACAGGATGGGTTGGCGGGGGACTCCGGATAGTTCTGGGGGTGTTTTCTTTCAAATTTTGGGAAGACTTACAGGATTCATCACAAAGTTCTATTACCACAGAAACAGCTTAACCATTATCTTCTGATGACAGTTAAGTATGACTGGAAATAATGTTACTGGACTTATAATACAACCTTCTCCCAAAGAGGTCCCCAGGGAATGTATCCTTTCCATAAATGTTGATTCAAAAAAATAGGACAAATAACTACATCAAGCCAGAGCTCAAGTTGTCTGGACTCGAAAAGAAAGAAACTCTTTAGCACAACAATCTGTTTCAGGAAGTTAATTTTCTGGGACATCAAAATCTTGGAGGAGGGCTGCCATCTCTCTCTCTGTTGGTGAAGGAGAAAACACTGAGTGTGGAAACAGCCTGGGGCTCCGAGGAACGGCTCCCTGGCCTTTCTCCTGTTACTCAAAAGACAGATACAATAACTGAAAGAAAGAAAGAAGGTGGGGGAGCGAGGGCGCCCACTCAGGGCCCTTAGTTAGCAGTATCAGTTGTCTGCCACCTCCCTGCCTGTCCCTGACCCCCCCTGCAATGACACCCCTCAGCCCCAGTCACTCCGGCTGCCCCATGTTTCCAGGAGAGAGAATGAAAAACAAAGTGCACACTTAAATCCCAAACACGTACATTGTGTTTTATGTGGGTCCCTTCTGAATTCTAAGACTTCCCAAAACACTTCTTACTTCTGCTTCTGAGCCTTACAGACTTACCATGAAACTTCGAGGCATCAGGGTCATTCATATTGATAGCAATTAATTTCCAATCTGTTTCACCTTGATCAATAAGACCCAAGATTCCAAGGATTTTCACATGAATAACTTCTCCACGGGGAAGAACCTGTGGAGAGCAAAGAAATTCAGCCTTTGCAGGATCTGGAGACGTTTGTTCATGTATCATAAAAATTCACATGAAAAGATTAAAAGCCCTATGGCGTGAAATTTAGCAAAGCTTTAATAAACAAAAGTAATAATGAAAAAATTAGCCACAAAGCCTTTCCTGAGTATGCTGATCTTCTCGAAACTGAAGTCACTCATAGATCTTGAAATGTAATGTCCTAGGGATAAGATACTCAGCCGCACACACAAAATCAACCTCACAAACCTGGCTCCAGCAGCTCTGGGGAAGGCCCAAGAACACTGTCATTTCTTCACAGTGCCTTTTATGTAAACCACAGTCATCAGTGACTAGTAAAAATAACTTTTAACATTACTAGAATACAGCCCTAAGACAATGAAAGAATTATTAATCTGCTAAATACCAAAAAAAAAAAAAAAAAACAGGTTTCATAAAGTGCTTTCAAAAGACTTTGAGAGAAACGGAAATAGCACGACACTGAAGCAGACGCTCTGTGCTTAAGTTATTTCAGTAGTTCCTTCAAATTGTCAACACCAAATTTATATGTATGTGTTCTTTCTATATTCTTTTATTTTTAAAGGTTTAGCTGGCTATAGAGTTTCACTGCAAGCTGCACACAGGCTTCAAAATACATTCCCTTATTATTCAAATTGGAGCTTTACTCTTGAAAGGCAAGGTATGCAAAATAAAGTCACTTTTGTGTGACATTATTTCAGAGGAAAAAATGGACCTTAAACCATACAGTCAAATAAATCCTTTCAGAATATTTGCAAAGGAATCTAAAGTCTTAATGTAAATCTGCATGAAGTTGTAATTAGTTTACACAACAGATTAGTGTGATTATGTAAACTAAACTGAAATGTCACTTTGAGGGGCACTGACACTATTACATCAGCTCTAGGAAGAGCCAGAACTGCATCGGGCACTGCAGCCTACAAAGAAAGGACCCCTGTTCTCAAAGGTTTACAGACTTGACGGGGAGACTTAACGTACCCCGTGCCAGTCACCACTGGCAATGAAAGGCTGGCTGCAATGGCTTACTCAGTGATCAGCCACATCACTGGTCCTCAAGCAGAGGCAATTTTCTCTGGAGACAATCCAGCAGTGTCTGGAGACATTGATGGTGTCACGGCCGTCAGGGATGACCCGCCTCTCACCAGCAAAGGCCCAAGCTGAGGAGCCTGTGGTAGACCCTGGTGGTAGGGATGTCTAGCAGAATTCCTGCTTCTTAAAGCACATTCTAAATTATTTTAAGTTTATTCATAAAAGTTCATTTACCCTGAAAACTCACTGAATGTAAGAGCAGTTTGAGATTTTTCTGGGTTCCCAGGGCAAGCAAGACACCTCTCTGGGGGTTCTTAAGTTCCATCAGAATGACACATGCTCTTTGAGCTAAGAAGCAAGGAAAAGGACAGCTTTATTTTAGATAAGCCCCACCTTCCTAAAATACTTTTAAAAATTAGAGGGAACTAAACCAAAACTCTAAATAAGATGCTGAGGAGCAAATGGAAAACTTATGAAACCCCAACAATTCAATTCATTCTCAATTCAACAAATTTATGATGAACCTACGTTAGACACCAAGTGAATGATTTATAATCCCTCAAGGAACACACGAAGATGTCTGTAGCTGTGAGTCTCAGCCTATAACCTTGTGGGATGCTCTGTTCTTTTCTCTTTGCCCATTTACAATGTGGTGCTAAGAAAGCCTTTCTACCAAGACACTTCTCAGAGGCCTTACAGGCAGCTGCCAGGCACGGGAACAGGAGCATGCTCTTAAAATATTACAGTCAAGTCAACTGAAAGGACGTTCACGTGACCATTTCTAACACTACCTTTTATACACAAAAATAACAATAGTCGGTATATTTTTTAATAAAACTGTGCTAAATATTCTGTACCAAGTTTTCTATGTAAAATGTAAATGTATGCTTTCATGATTAATTATATATACCTTATGAAAAATCACTTATACTGAAACCTTGAATTTTATTCTGCATATTCAGTGACTTTGACAGATTTATTTAAAAAACATGTATATCAGTTTTTCTTACATATTACTTTGTTTCATCATTAAGAAATTAGTGTTACCAAGTCAAAACAATTTATTAGGCACATACATTTTATATGTTTCCTTTCAGTTACCAACCTCAGTAATTTACACATTCACTGACAAATGTTCGCATAAGTGAAAATAAGATACTCCCATTTAATCTTTCACTCACACTTGATATCTGTGAAGATTTAAATTAACCTACCATGAACTCAATCGCCCAGGGATTATACCCTCAGTGTAAGCATTTTCTAAAATATCATCTTGCCCTCAATGTAGTATTATTTAATTGAGTGACTCCTGCTAATGAAATAAGTCATGGGAAAGTGACTAGAGCATCTCGCACAGCACTAGAACACACAAGGTACTCATTTAAACATACATTCTTCCTTCCTTTTAATCTATTAATTTTATATACACGTTATTACCTCTCTAGGGAGAAAATGTCCAAAATGACAAAGGAAGCTAACAATTCAGCTTTACCAGAAGAGATACAGGAATTACACATACACATGCAAACACATCCCTATTTGTCCTATCCATGTGTAAAAATAGATGTAAAAGTTGGAATGGAGATCTCCACTGCAGGAAAGGAGCACGAGAGAGGGAGAAGGAACAGAGGAGAGAACAAGGAAGAAAAATAGGACATGAAAGGACAGAAGGAGAAACAGAAGTAGGAAGAAAAGACTACGAGGATAAAGTGGGGGGAGAAATAAGGGAGAAAGAAAAAAGAGTATCAAATGAATATGGTAAATATACAAAGTGACAGAAAATCAGAAGAAACTATTTACTAATATTCTAGAAGTCTGAAGTCCTAGCATGAGTTTCTAGAGACAACTGAGTACCTCTCAGCTGGAAGAATAGGACTCCAGTAATAACCAGACATAGCATTCCTTGCATGTCATGTGCTGGGTGGTGAGTCTTGTCCTCCAGGAGCTGAGCACACCCCATAGAAAAGACAAAGAGCAGAGCAAAGACAGCACACAGAGCAAAGAGCAGTTATTTCAGGCCGTGGAGGGTGAAGGGAGACATCTGAGAGGAGACGATGCTTTAGCTGAGGCCTGAGGGGTGAGCAGGGGAAATGCAGTGCCAAAGGGGGAGAGGAAGGAGGGAGGTGCCTTGTGCAGAGGGGACAGTCTACGCTCAGCCCGAGTCCCCATAGGCAGACACATCCCAGTGCGGCAAGATCAACAAGGTGGGACGCAGATCACCGCATGACCCAGGTGTGGCAGGAGAGGGCGAGAAAAGAAGTGGGTGTCAGCGCTGAAACAGTAAAGCAGGAGGAGTAGGGAATAAACGATAAAACAGAAAGTAAGACTCGACAGGAGCAGGAATAAGTCATGAGATTTAACAGAGGTCTACCCAAAGCTAGGGGCTGAGGGACTAGAAAGAAGCACGTTAATGGCTATTTAAAACATAGAGTCACTGTTTCACAATTAATGGGAGGAAAAGAAGAAAAGAGTAACCAAGGATGACCCCCTCAGTTTCTGATGTACACATCTGGGGGTGGGGAGCAGAAGAGGAGAGTCATTCACCAGACTGGTAATACTGAGAGAGGAAGAAATCGTGGATTCGATTTTGGACAGGATGAGGCTGAGATGCCTGGGAAACACCAAGTATGGCTGCAGGCAGTGGAGAACATGGGTCTGAGCTGGCATATCTAGTGGAGGGCAAAATCCCAAATGGCCAGGATTGGGTCACCAATCCTGGGTGGCCGCACGGGAAGAGGATTTGGCCAAGAGCTCAGTCTATAAGTTAACCAACTCTCCTGCCCAGGCAGAAGAAACCAGAATGATCAGACAATATCCCAGATGTTATGATACAGTCAAAGCAAAGGAAAAAGAGGCTGTCTCAAGAGGGCAGATGAGGTTAACAGTGTAAGATTCTAAGGCAAATTAAAGTTACACAAAGTCTGTGAAGCAGGCTTGCAGGTTGTAGCAAAAAGTCACTGGTAACCTTAGTGAGAGCAGTTCCAATGAAGTGATGAAGGGATGGAACAATTTTGAATCACGCTGGAGATTAAGTGGGAAGTAGGAGGAGATAAGCACTGAAAACGCTTTTGACAAGTCTTCACCTGAAGGGAAAGGAGAGAGGAGGATGTGGGAGGCAGCCAAGAGGAAGTGAAGTTCACTGCAGGACTGAGCAAAGACAAGAAAACACTGTCACTCATGAGGCAGGATGGGCAGGGGCCCAGAACAGAGAAGGGAAGCCTGGTCTTAGAGAAAAAAGCCCGCTTTGTGGACAGAAGGCCAGGAAGACACGGCATCTGGAGGCACGGGAAGCGTACACGCTAAGGGGACAGGTGAGGGGGCTCTTTCCTGCCGGTCCCCATGAGCTCCACACAATTAAGGATGGAGGTTCAGCTGAGAGAGTGAAGCAAGTGAGAGGGGAAGAATGCCTGCAGATGAGCGGAGTTAGCACAGCAAAACCTAAATAAACTTACATACCAGTGTTTCGTCAATAAAAAATTTTTAAGAAGTATTGGTAAAAAATACAGGGGAAAATAGAAGGGCAGAGGAGAACACATTGCGTTCTATGGGCAGCACCGATGTGGGAGACTGGGCTTGTTCCTCCCGAGTTGAACTCGGACCCCAGAAGCAGGCTCGCTGCAAAGAGCATCCCAGATGTCTTTCTCACTCTTGACCTGTGGTCTGGAGGATGGGCCAGGGGCTAAAGATGTTTACCCAGCAAACATCCCGGGTAAAGGGTCACATAGTGCAAGCTTGGACTGCGCACGCGCCTCAGCTTTGCTGGGGGTGCAGAGTGACCAGACAACACTGAATGACCAGCAGCAGCTGAGCTATTTATAAAAACTGTACCTCCCCAACCCGTGTCTAAAGGTACAAGAGCACACTGATACCAGTGGCACGTACAGGCTGGAACTAGGCAGAGTTGGAGAACAGCACCTAAGGGGAGAACTGGTTTACTGGCATGAACAAAAGAACATGTGGATGCAGAGTTCACAAAACCAACCTTTGAGCCTATTTCACACACATCGATAGGATCGTTATCTCCACAGCAGCCTGTGCTCTTATCTTTTCGATGGGGATCTTCCCAAGTCTGAAAAAGGAGAGGAATTATAGGTTAAAACAATAATGTATCTAGCTCTTTCCACATGATCATGAAGTTTTATAAACAGCCATGATCCAAAGGAAGAAGTCTCCGAAGTTCCGTGGGTTCACGGCCAGTATGCCAGTGCATCCCCAAGCACTGCCATAATTAAAACAGATTTATAGTATGTCCTCCCTCCCACCTCACACTCATCTGTATAATCACATCTGAATGTCCACATCCTGTCCATGTCTGACCATCATATTATGATACCACGTTTTGGTAGTAATAGCAATTGAATGGTAAGTACTTTTCATGTATAACTATATTTTATTTCATGATTCTCTTTTTAAAAATACCTTCTCTTACTCTCAGAATCTTCTAAGTATATTTCCTTTTTTCCTTTGCTTGTGGTACGTATTTATGCAAGTATGCATGCATGTATATAACATTGGTTTACAACATTTACGTCATGGAGAGGTACAGGATGACCCTCCCGGTGTATACCACCACATCTCACCCTCCATCACAGCCCAAGTGCTCCCTCCCCACTTTGCTCTATCCCGTAGTAGCCTTAATTCTACAGGTTTGTTATTGGTTTGTTATTGTTTGGTTTCTCTATATTCGACACAGACTTGAAATCATCCAGTAATCATCTTTCTCCTTCTAACTTGTTTCACTGAGCATGATCCCCTCCAATTCCATCCACACTGTCACGAATGGCAAAGTTTATCTCTCTGATCGCTAAGTAATACTGTGTATACAGATCACAGTTTCCTAATCCACTCGTCTGTCTGTGGGCATTTCGGTTGTTTCCACAGCCTGGCTATTGTAAATAATGCTGCCATGAACACAGTGCTTACATCCCTTCCAATCAATGGTTTTGCATTCTTCAGGTGAAGACCCAGGAGTGGAACTGTTGGGCCATATAATACATTCATTTCTAATATTTTCAGAACCTTCAACACATTTCATTCTTTTTGAAGCAGTTGTAAATGGAATTGTTTTCTTGGTTGCTTCCTCTTCAAGCTCATTGTTTGGATATAGGAACACAACTGATTTCTGTATATTGATATTGAGGTCTGCCACTTTGCCTAACTGACTTATTGTTTGAATTAGCTTTTTAGTGGAATATTAGGGTTTTCTATGTATGTCATGTCATCTGCAAATAATGATCAATTTACTTCTTTCCCAATTTAGATTCCTTTTATATCCTTGGTTTGCTTAATTGCTCTAGCTAGGAATTCCAATACCATGTTGAATAGCTGTGGTGAGAGTGAACATCCTTTTCAGGTACCAGATCTTAGTGGGAAAGTGCTTAGTTTTTGCTCACCATGGAGTATGGTGTGAGCTGTGGGTTTATCATATATGGTTTTTATTATTTGAGAGATATCCAATCTTACCCAAATTTTTGAGTCTATCATAAATGATGTTGACTCTTACCAAATGCTTTCTTATCTATTGAGAGGATCATATGTTTTTTGTCTTCCCCTTTGTTAATGATTACTTTTGTTGACTGTCGAGGTTTTACCATTATCACAAATGTTACCTGCGGGAGGGCACCATAATTCCATATGTAGCCCTTGTGAGGGAAGATGTTGGCCACGTAGCGCAGCTTGTCACCCTTCGTATCTTGTTTAATGGGGTTCAACGGCTCTTCTGCAGCAATCTAAGCAGGCCACAGAAGTGGGGGGAGAGAAATGTTAAGAATTCATTCTAATTCTATATTCAAATAGTATTTTTTAAATCTGTATTTTCAGACTAAATATTCACAAATTAAGCCAGCTCTATTACTAATTTATGGTACTGTGTTAGAACTACTGTTCAGAAAGGAGAAAGGAAACATCAGATTACATATTTAGATAATCTGTTATTTACATACTGCATTATTTATATTACAAGTAATAAAATGACTGAAAAGCAAAGATAAGGATTTTTTTTTTAAAGATTTATTTATTTATAAAAGCACTGGGTATAGTCAGAAGCGCAGGAGGGTGAGAGAATTCACTAGAGCCAGAGTGGGGAACAGAACAGGCAGACTGACTGAAGTACACTGCTGAGGGGAGCAGTGGGCGAGACAGGAGAGGTCTGTCGTGCCACGTGGGACCCTTGCTGGTGGCCAGGGATCGAACTGGAGCTGCAGAGGCAGCCTCGCAGCCCAGCGCTCAATCACTGCGACATCAGGGGAGGCCCAAAGATAAGGATTATTCACCTTGCCTTTTCTTAGAAATCTTGGGCTTTTTTCCATTAATTTTACATTAATCAAGTGAACTCAAAGATTTTCAGGTGATTTCATTTTAAAGTTACCCTTCTACCAAACATATCCAAATTGCCATGCAAAAAAAAAATAAAACAAAAACAAAAAACCTGTGCCATAAAGTGAAAACAAAGTAACTAAAGCCAAGTTTGAATGAAGAAATAAAAAATGTTCAACATCACTTGTAATCAGGGAAATGCAAATCAAAACTACCATGAGATACCATCTTACACCAGTGAGAATGGCACATATTAAAAAAACTAGCAACAACAAATGTTGGCGAGGTTGTGGAGAAAAAGGAACTTTCCTGCACTGTTGGTGGGAGTGCAAACTGGTCCAACCACTATGGAGAGCTGTGTGGCGATTTCTTGACATACTAAACATAGAGCTTCCATAGGATCCAGCAATTCCACTCTTAGGTATTTACCCAAAGGACACAGAAACATCCAATTCAAAGAACACCTGCACCCCTATGTTTATAGCAGCACTATTTACAATAGCTAAGCTTTGGAAACAACCCAAATGCCCAAAAATAGATGACTGGATCAAGAAGATGTGGTACATATATACTATGGAATATTACTCAGCATTCAAAAAAGATAAACACATGCAATTTGCAGCAACATGGATGGCACTGGAAGGGATCATGCTCAGTGAAATAAGCCAAAAAGAAAAAGAAAAATACCGGATGGTCTCACTCATAGCAGGAATCTAGAAAACTTAAATAAGGGACCAGGAAAATGAATAACTATAAGAAAGTGAAAATCAAAATCAACAAAAAACTATGAACCAGAGACACTTTTGGGGGGTGGGGGGCGGGAGGGGAGGGATTGGGGTCAGAATGGGGGGGTTGCAATTGTATGGGGAATATAAAAATAAAATCTATTATAAAAAAAAAAGAAATAATGTTTCAGATAGAGGCTCACAGATTCTTAATCCTACAGCTGAACTAGAGAGAGGCTACAATGGTAAGGCATAGTATCTTTGTCAAGACCAATATTCTAATACCCAAAAATATTACCAGGACTTGGTAATATTCCCAATTCAAAATTTTATGGCAAACAAATTTAAATAAACTTTTTATATTTGATGTTAATACAGGATATTCATACCTCCATTTTTGCATTTGTCCACCGAGGTACTTCCACAACCATATTAAACAAATTCTGCAAAAAAAAAACAAAAAACAAAAACAAGTAGAGAAAATTTAAAACATATTACCTGTGTTTTATTTTTTTACTTACCTCCTGTAAAAGAATGCTGAGCCCCCTGGCCCCCATGTGTAAAGTCTATGTCATACATCTGCCTATGCCTTTAATTTCTTCTAAGGAAGTCAGAGCAGCTCTCTAACCACAGAACTTCGGTCACTGTAGCACATGACCATGATGGCACGGTGTTAGAGGCTGCTGCATTTCTGGGAAGGCCTCTGCAACCAGAATGGAGTCGGGAAACAGGCTGCACTTTTTATTCTCCAACTAAAACAGATCAGAGCAAGGCCAACCACAGACACTGCGTGCCTTGCCTTTCCAATCTGCAAGGCAAGTGTGACACTCACTCTGTCCTACTCAACACGCCAAGTTCTCACCAAGACCAATGAAATGAATACACACCAAAATTTATGAATATGTGTTGAAAATTATAACAGTTAAATCCCAGTTAGTATGGACATATTGTACAATGAGGGGCCTCAACACAGAGAGTTTCAAAGCTTACACAGAGCAGCCTGACTCCTTTTTATGCCCAGTTGTAGAGCAAGTGGCCTCCAGTTTCCTAAGTCACACAAGAATCCTGAGTCTCTTTACCATTTCTGAACTTTGCAGAGTGCTGCAAGACTATAAGGAGGACTCCAGGTCAATGGTGAGAAAATATAATTTTCAATAGTCATCAGGAATGTAATGTAAGTTTCCTACAGTTTGGCCTCACAAAGAGGAAGTTTTTGGTTACAGTTGACTTGCATGCCATTTGATACCAGTAACTAACCACTCATCACAGCAGAGCGCTGGTTCAAAATCAGGGTTCCTTGGGAGGCTGAGGGTGGCTGGTTCATTTGGAAATATCCTGAGCAACCTGACAGAGAAATCTTCACATCCTTTGAATATAACAATTAAAATTTGAAATTTGAATTATACTTTTCCAATAATTCATTTTGATTATACTTTCAGAAGAGTCAGTTCACAAGAGACTAGAAATAACTCAAAGTGAGTACTTCACCATGGATCACATGAGAAGCAAGGACTGAATATACTTTATTTGGGTGGAGTTACACATCAGAATCACCTGGAGAGTAATCAATTCCAAGAAGAAAAGACTCCTAGGGTCCTACCTCCCATATATTTGAATTGAATATTTCTGGGATGGAGCCAGGGCACAGCTTATTTTCAAAAGCTCTCCAAGCATTTTTATGACTTAAAGTACTCCTAGACAATATCTGGGGCTTCTTAATGAAATATAAACAGAGCCGCAAAAGCAGTGATGGTTTTTAAGTTTTTCTAGATGACACTAAAGTTCACAAAGGATAGAGCTGCAAACCCTTATGAGATGATGTAAAAGGCCACGAGTGAATTCTTAACAACTGCCCCTTGCAGGACGGCCTAGCACGTTGCAAAGTCTGCTGCTGAGAACGCTCCCCTGCCCGTGGTCTTTTGTGAGCTGCCGGGCACCTCAAACAGGTCTGAAGTAGTAATTATGTTCACACAATTAATTCATCCCCGGAAGTAAGTCAGAGGAGGAGAGGACAAACGCATGTGGAGGGTCACTCAGGAGGTGAGAGAAGGCCAGGCTCCTGACAACTGTTTACGCAGGGACAGAGCACCTGCAGAGACCCAGCTGGGTTGGCAAACTATTCTCGCCAGTTGTTCCTGCTCCTGAGGAGCTGTTCTCAGCCTGCTTTCCCCTCCCTCTGACAGAAATGCCTATGACGTGTCACTTTTAAAACCAGCATTAGTCTGATCAATGTTAAGATTAACATTAATTTGGGCCTCCCCGGTGGCGCAGCAGTTGAGCGCTGGGTTGTGAAGCTGCCCGCAGCCTCCACGTCGCCGGTTCATTCCCCAGCTGCTCCCCGGCCACCGGAGGAGGGTCCCACATGGCGCGCAGACCTCTCCTGCCGCCCGCTGCTCCCCTCAGCAGTGTACTTCAGTCCTTCTGCCTGCTCTGCTCCCCGCTCTGGCTCTGGTGAATTCTCTCACCCTCCCGCGCTTCTAACTGTACCCAGTGCTTGTATAAATAAATAAATCTTAAAAAAAAAAAAAAGATTAACATTAATTTTTTTTATTTCTTCTTCTTCAGATTTATTGTTTGTGTACAGGAAGGCTACTGACTTTTGCGTGTTGATTTTGTATCCTGCCACTTTACTGAACTGATTGATGAGTTGAATTAGTTTTTCTGTGGAGTTTTTGGGGTTCTCTATGTATATTATCATATCATCTGCAAATAGTGATAGTTTGACTTCTTCTTTTCCTATTTGGATTCCTTGGATGTCTTTCTCTTGTCTTATTGCTCTGGCTAGGACTTCCAGTATTATATTGAAAAGCAGTGGTGAGAGTGGACATCTTTGTCTTGTTCCAGATCTTAATGGAATTGCTTTCAGCTTTTCACCATTGAGAATGATACTGGCTGTTGGCTTGTCATAGATGGCCTTTATGATGTTGAGGTATGTTCCTTGTATCCCAAGAATTTCAAGGGCTTTTATCATGAATGGGTGTTGCACTTTGTCGAAAGCTTTCTCAGCATCTATTGATATTATCATATGGTTTTTATATTTCTTTTTGTTGATGTGTTGGATAACGTTGATTGATTTTTGGATGTTAAACCATCCTTGTGCCCCTGGAATGAATCCAACTTGTCGTGGTGAATTATCTTATGGATACAAGAAACATCAATTCCAAAGAACACCCGCACCCCTATGTTTATAGCAGCTCTATTTACAATAGCTAAGCTATGGAAACAGCCCAAATGCCCAAAAATAGATGACTGGATCAAGAAGATGTGGTCCATATACACCATGGAATATTACTCAGCATTCAAAAAAGATAAACACATGCAATTTGCAGCAACATGGATGGCGCTGGAAGGGATCATGCTCAGCGAAATAAGCCAGAAAGAAAAAGAAAAAATATCGGATGGTCTCACTCATAGCAGGAATCTAGAGAACTTAAATAAGGGACCAGGAAAATGAATAACTATAAGAAAGTGAAAATCAAAATCAACAAACAACTATGAACCAGAGACAGTTTTTGGGGGTGGGGGGCGGGAGGGGAGGGATTGGGGTCAAAATGGGGGGGGGGTTGCAATTGTATGGGGAATATAAAAATAAAACTTATTATTTAAAAAAAAAAAGAAATAATAGTTTACGGGAAAAAAAAAGATTAACATTAATTATAAACCGATAAAGTCTTGCTGAAATTTATCAGACAATCAGAAAGACAAAAGGGATTTAAAACAAATCAGTGAGTTGGGGGTGGGCGATGGACACTGGCTTTCAGTTCTTTTCTTTCTTTCCACTCCATCCCTGACCCCCACTTCTATTGAAGAAATCACAGAAGAACTAGTAAGATATGAAAGAGTATTCAGTAAATTTTATGTAACTGGAATAAAAAAAATGGAAGAAGTACTTCTTTCCTCTAACTCTTAAAATATCAAATAAAGTTTGGATTTGACAGCAAAAGCAAAGGTAACAAAAGCAAAAGCAAACAAGCGGGACTACACCAACTGAAAAGCTTCTGTACAGCAAAGGAAATCATCACCAAAATCAAAAGACAACCAGTGGAGGGGAAGAAGTTCTTTGCAAACCAGACATCTGATAAGGGGTTAATATGCAAAATACATCGAAAACTCACACAACAGCAATAAAACAACTAAATTAAAAAATGGACAGGAGAGCTGAATAGACACTTCTCCAGAGAACACACACAGATGACCCACAGGTACATGAACAGGAGCTCGACTTCTCTAAATACCAGGGAAATGCAAATCAGAACCACAGGGAGACAGCCCCTTACAGCAGCCACAAAGACAAGCAACCAGAGTCCATATGTGCTGTTGGTGGGACTGTGAGCAGGTGCAGCCTCTATGTAAAACAGTATGGGGGGTCCCTTGGACAATTTAAAAAGTAATTTGCCATATGATCCAGCAAGTGCACCTCTGGGTGTATATTGAGAGGATGTGAAATCAGGATCTTGAAGAGATGTGCATGCCCATGTTCACGGAAACAGTACTTCCCCAGAAGCAATTTAGGAAACAGCCTAAATGCCCATCAGTGGGTAACTGGACAAAGCATATGTGGGAATACCGTATACACACACATGTATGCACAAGGGAGTATTATTCAGCCCTGAGAGAAGGAAATTCTGTCATCTGTGACAACATGGATGGCTCTCGATGGCTTTACACTGTGTGAAATAAATCAGAGAAAGACCATGCGTGAGGGCAGTGGGGGTGGTGAAACTCATATAAACAGAATAGAAAAGTGATTGCCAAGGACTTGGGGAAAGTGGAGAGAGGAGAGAAAAAAAAAATCAAATAAATTCAAGTCAGGCAGTCTCCAACATATAAACTATTCTAAGAATTAAATTTTAAGTCTGTATAGGTTAAGAATACATTTCCCACAGAAACCACTGCTTCCAGATTAATACACAAGATTAAAGTCCCTAGGAACCTATAAGCCTTGACCTCTGAATTCCACGCACCCAACACTCAGGGCGATCGTCCCCTAACTTCAGCGTGGGCAGGACGCACCCAGAAAATCTGGTAAACATGGAGATGAACATCTCTAGCAAGCAGAGATGTGGAATTAGGAGGTAAGAACGGGCTGGGCATCCGGACTTCAGCAAGTGCTCTGAATGGCTCCGACGCAGCTGGCTCACGCACCACTCTGACAAACACCAGTTTAGGCAAATACAAGACAAACACAGGGAAATGTAGCAGGGATTAAACAGCCCTGCACCTAAGTTGGGATGCATATCCAAAGACTGGGGTCACTGCATGCAGAGCAGGAACTGGGTGGAAGTAAGGCTGGGAAGGGGGAAGAAGGCTGAGAAGGTCCGGGCAGGGAAGCTTGCTGGGACCACAAGGGACAGGGTGACAAGTCCTGGTCAGAGACTCTGGTTCCAAGAGAGGAGGCTTGTGAGGGCAGACAGTCACCCATTTGAAAGACGCATTTAGAACACTTGCTTTAGCATATAATTGGTGTAACTGTTTTTTTCCTTTTCCTCCACTCTTGAAAGGTTTATTCCTGGATTCTAAAACAGACTGTCATGCCCTATTTTCCCCTTATAATAAAAACATCGATTAAGTGACCAATTTTCATGAAGTTCCTTTCTTTTAGATGATCTACCATGATGAAAAACTTACTGTCAAAATCTGGGTTCATTTCCTGATTCCCTCTGGGTTTTCACCTAAAAATGAAATGGTAAGGAGGGACCTACGACGGTCCAACTCACAAACAGGAGCAGGACAGGGGTTCCCGAGTGGGCCGAGGGCACGGGGAGTTCCCGCTCCCTGTGCAGAGTGTGGCTGGGGAAGATGGGAAAGCCTGGGGCATGGCGGCGACCATGCCCAGCACAAGAAAGGGCCTACTGCCCCCTAACTGCACACTTCACAAAAGTGTGCAACCAGTAAAACGTGGCTCCATGTATTTTACCAGAAGAACACAGTAAAGCGGGTTAGCTGTCTTAAAGAGAAACTAGAAGAAAACCCCAGCATGCACACCAAAGTCTTGCAGAGGGAAAAACCCAGAAGCACTGTACAAATGCAAATGGTCATCACAGTCCTGCAGACAATACAGGAACAATTCACAGAAATAAAAGCCTTTCAATATACCTCATATTCACCACTCCGCGCTCTCTTTGTGGGAATGCCATTTTCCTATAAAAGAAAAGACGATCATGATTGCAGGATTTCAGGGATGAGGACAGCGGCTCCACAAGTGGCTTGGCACAGAGTCCTGTCTATGTACAGAGGCGCCGCCAGGGCTGGGGAGCGCCTCCTCCGCACCCACAACCCCAGTGCACGAGCAGCAAGGGCTTCATAAATGATCAGAAAAGCCGGTTCTTGTTCATGTATATCCTAGTTTTTAATCGCATAAGCAAAGGCTCTGTGCCGTCTTTAAGGAAGACTGGCAGTTTCCAACAATTACGCTAGCAACATCCACGTCGTTATTGAAATGAAACTCTAGGGAGCGTGACTAACGGGCCATGAAAGTACTCGCACCTCCTCCGGGGGACCCCACCACGTGTGATGGGATGTCTCCACCAGGCACCGGGAACAGTGCGGTGGGCTGGGAAGGCAAGGACACCTCCACAGGGACGCGTGTGTTACACACAACTGTTACTCACCCAAGCGAGCGCTAATGAAGGAAACAGAATGAAAATGATTATTCCAAGTCAGCTCTGCCTCGTTACTCTGTTCCTAAGATACCACGTCCCAAAGTGCAAGTGCAACAACTCTAATCATTACAGCTGAGGAGGGAAAGCTACTAACACAACCTGCAGACCAATCTCCGCCAGCCCAGAATCCATGGGCAAAGCCTGGGGTACTCTGCCCTGCCCTGTCCTAATCCTGCCTATCTCCTAATCTCTTAGTCCCCAAAGCCCATCCTCCTAGATGGGCTATTATGCCACTGGGATAGTTCTAGCTCACTCGTGCTACACCTCCGTCCCTATGACATGATTCCTGATGATGATGGTGATGCTGCTGCTGCTGCTGCTGCTGCTAGCAGGCACACAGAAGCAGCCCCCTATGGAGCAGTCCCCACCAGCCACCCCTAAACTGTCATCACCCTGTTCTGGTGTAGGGTACTTAACATTATCTCACTGACTTACTTGTTTCCTGATTGTCTGCTTCCTTCAACCAAGTGCAAACCTTTTTTATCTTACTTGCCACAGCAATCCCAGTACCCAGAGTAGTCTGGCTCATAATTAGATACAGTGATAATTTCCTGGGTGATTACATTAATGACCACTGGATATATGCACTTACAGTCAAAGCAGGAGAAGTGTTGGGACACATGAGGTATTTTGGAATGAGAGTTCACTGGCCAAAGAAGAAGACAGATGCATGTTCTCCCCCCCACCCGCTCTTGCACGCTCTCCCTCCCTCCCTCCCTCCCTCCCTCCCTCCCTCTCTCAGCTGGAAGGATTACACAGGACAAGCTTTGGGGTTAGAGCTCCTAAGTTCACATTCTGCCTCCACAGGTGACTGGATGCATGACCCCAGGAAGGGACTCACCTCATTAAAGGAGGAAGGGTAACGGCAGCCTGGAAGCACCGACAACAAGAGGTCCAGCACTTCTGAGAAGTGTGACTTATTGATAAGCCCGCAATACATCTCCACTCTCATTACCCACTTGCATCTCAGCCGCCAGTCCAGGCTCCAAAGGGCCACAAGGCGGCACCAACCCACAGCCTAAGAATGAGTCTGGCATCGCTCCAGTCAGTGACACAGAGGTCAAGCCACTCCAGCACCAGGAAGTTTCCAAGCCTTTCTTGGATGCTACCCCCAAAGTTCTAGGAAATCCAAATTCATTAACCAGTCGAATCATCTCAACCTGGAATGCAGCCCTGGCTATTTACTTAAGAGCTATGCTCCTCAAAAATGTGATAATGAAATATGCCAATTAACTGCTCGAAATTAAAGGAAAAAAATTCCAAATTAGTGATGATCACTAACTCATGTCTTCCACACAAGCGGGGTTGGAGGCGAGCACCCTCAGTTCCATATCTGGTAGAGGTCACCCACTCCCACTTGATGACAGTCTTCATGTCCTCACAGCTGCCAACGCCAGCGCGGGAGAGGACTACCTGTGGAGGACTACCATTACCAGCTGCTCCTTTCTGACATCCACAAAAGGGTGCTTGGGGAGCATGAGCTGTGTGGTCAGAAAAGCTGGCTCAAAACCTGGACCTGGGACCTTACATGGCTGAGCACATGCCTTCGGCCTCAGTGTCCCTGGAGGCCTTAAGAGAAACGCACAAGGAGACAGGGACACAGCACGGTCACCTGGTGAGTAGTGAGCAGAAAGGAACCCACCGTGCTAACTCGATCATGAGTAAAATAAACCTCTAGTGAACCTCCTCACTTCTTAGTTTTAAATCTTTATTCCTATCAAATTCTAAGCTTGACAGACCACCAACATCCCCTACCCCAGGAGCTCCTGGGAGAAGCCCCTTCTCCCACACATTCTAATTCATGAAGGAGACCGAAGATCCTGGTAGAGGAATTGCGCCACCATTCCTGACTTTTAGCCACATACTTTCAAGATGTTTCCAAAAACATTTAACGGTGATACTGAAGGCATATGCTTTCCTGTCCAAAGCCAGGTAAAAACGTACCTCTCTGGAATCCGCCTTCAGAGGGATGTCGTGAAAGGGGGAGACGTAGTGACCAGCTACATCCTCTGCAAAGGAACAGAAGCACCATTAAAGAAGCTGACAGTCCTGCTCTCTAGGGGTTATATGCTCTATCCACTTTCAAACGTAACCACTGTTGTCAAGCTAACTTTAATGCTAAGTTTAATTCAACTCCAGCCTGATGACCAATGACAAATGCAAACCAAACAAACCATATCTGGGCTGGTGAGATCATTTACTTATCTCTGTGGCTTGAAATAGCCAAAGCAGGAAATGCCTAAAATACACTAAAATCCCAAATATGAAAAATCTCAATTTTGTCGTCTCTTCAAGATTACACTGGATTAAAATTAATGTCAGTTTCCCTGTGAGAAACAGAAAAAGGGAATTCCCAGTGTCCACCTATAATCCATAGGAAGAAAAGATCTGGGGATCCTGCCCAATTACAAAACAAATCACTGTCATTTCTGTTCAACCTGATAAGGATGCTAATACAAGGTAAACATAAAAACAACTTGGGTAACAAAGTATCTTTAAAATTGCCTCTGAAACATGTATTTTAAATACTTTTAGCAGTAGATAATATTTACATAAAATACAATGACCCAACCACCACCCTTCTAAGGGAATACATGCATTTCCCAGAGCTGGGCTCAAGAATGCCACAGGTAACTTCCAGTTTAATTTCCTAAGCCAGGGTCTGTTTTATTTTAGCCGGCTACTTCTTGGGTGTAATGCTGAAATTTTTTTAAAAAAATAACACAAAGTTTATTTGACACCTCAGTAGCAGCAAGCACAGTCAGCACCTTTAAGGCTGACTTCTACATGACCTCTCCCAATAGAAGAAGAAAGACTTCCTGAAGCAGGGGCCAAGGCTGAGCCGGAGAAAGAATACAGGGTGAGCCTGAGCACCGGTGAGTGAGCAGGCACTCAAAGACAAAAGGGCAGAGGTTTATCCAAGAGAAACAGGAGCCAAATGAAGGAAAGAAAAACCCAAAGGTCTAAGCAGGGATGATTTGAGCAACAAAGTAAAAACGAAGGGAAAGACAAATATACACCAGTCCACACTAACACACGAAAGACTGTGCAGGACAATGAGGGAGGAGGGCGACTCTTCTTTACAGAAAATTCCAGACACTACCTGTAGAGCCTCCCCCACAGGAAGTAAAGCCCCTGCCTCGTGGGGTGTGAAAAAGACTTGGAGATTCACCTCTGAACAGGATATGGACATGGGGACAGGTGACAAGGCAGGTCAGTGGCATCTATCTCCCAATGTGCCCTGATGATGTCATCCCCTAGCTCCCTTCTTGAAGAAGCTCGACAGCAAGAGGGTCACTAAGCTTTAGGGTTATCCTTTTCATTCCCTTACTGTCACCTTAACAGGAAATTAACCAGGAGGAGGGTAAGAGAAACACTGTATTCACACCTATCAGACACCAAACTGCACCCTGACATCCTGTCAACCCACACGCCATCACTAGATATCACATCCAAATTTCCCTTCGACTCCTGATATGAGACTGTATCCTATCATTTTGCTACTTATCTAATGTTTCCTCTCATTACAGCAAGTTATTTAAAGTTTATTACCTGTCACAGCAAGTAAGAAAGCTAAATATAATGTAAAACCTGAATCTGATTTTACATATATACACTGAACAGCTACCTGTATATGTCATTGACCAACATACTACTACATATTATTACTAAAACCGTTTACCCCAAAAACTCCACAGAAAAACTAATTCAACTTATCAATCAATTCAGTAAAGTGGCAGGATACAAAATCAACACGCAAAAGTCAGTAGCCTTCCTATACACAAACAATAAATCTGAAGAAGAAGAAATAAAAAAAACCATCCCTTTTATTATCGAAACAAAAAAAATCAAATATTTGGGAATAAATCTAACAAAAGAGGTAAAGGACCTATACAAAGAAAATTATAAAACACTGTTAAAGGAAATAGAAGAAGACACAAAGAAATGGAAAGACATCCCCTGCTCATGGATTGGAAGAATAAACATTATTAAAATGGCCATCTTACCAAAAGCAATATACCGATTCAATGCTATTCCAATCAAAATTTCAATGTCATTCTTCAAAGAAATAGAACAATTACTGATGAAATTCATATGGAATCACCAAAAACCCCGAATAGCCAAAGCTCTACTGAAAAAAAAAGAAGGAAATGGAGGCATCACACTCCCAGACTTCAAACTATACTACAAAGCCATAATCATCAAAACTGCATGGTATTGGAACAAGAACAGACATACAGACCAATGGAATCGAATAGAAAATCCAGAAATAAACCCACAGATTTATGGTCAACTAATCTTTGACAACGGAGCAAAGACTATGCATTGGAGCAAAGAAAGTTTGTTCAATAAATGGTGCTGGGAAAACTGGGTCGCTACATGCAAAAGAATGAAGCTTGACTACTACCTCACACCATACACAAAAATCAACTCAAAATGGATTAAAGAACTAGACATAAGACCTGAAACCATAAAATATATAGAAGGAAATATAGGCGAAACACTACGTGATTTGCACATCAAAGACATCTTTACAGACACATCACCCAAAGCAGTGTTAGTGAAGGCAAAGATAAACAGCTGGGACTACATCAAATTAAAGAGCTTCTGCACAGCAAAAGAGACAATAACAAAAACAAAGAGAAACCCCACCAACTGGGAGAACATTTTTGCACCCAACACTAATGATAAAGGGCTGATCACAAAAATCTGCAAAGAGCTGATGAGACTCAACAACAACAAAGAAAATAATCCAGTCAAAAAATGGGCAGAAGAGCTAAAAAGAAACTTCTCTGAAGAGGAAATGCAAATGGCCAACAGGCATATGAAAAATGTTCAACATCACTTGTCATCAGGGAAATGCAAATCAAAACTACCATGAGATACCATCTTACACCAGTGAGAATGGCACATATTAAAAAAACTAGCAACAACAAATGTTGGCGAGGGTGTGGAGAAAAAGGAACTCTTCTGCACTGTTGGTGGGAGTGCAAACTGGTCCAACCACTGTGGAGAGCTGTGTGGAGATTTCTGGACCTACTAAACATAGAGCTTCCATAGGATCCAGCAATTCCACTCCTAGGTATTTACCCAAAGGACACAGAAACATCCATTCCAAAGAACACCTGCACCCCTATGTTTATAGCAGCACTGTTTACAATAGCTAAGCTTTGGAAACAACCCAAATGCCCAAAAATAGATGACTGGATCAAGAAGATGTGGTACATATATACCATGGAATATTACTCAGCATTCAAAAAAGATAAACACATGCAATTTGCAGCAACATGGATGGCGCTGGAAGGGATCATGCTCAGCGAAATAAGCCAGAAAGAAAAAGAAAAATATCGGATGGTCTCACTCATAGCAGGAATCTAGAGAACTTAAATAAGGGACCAGGAAAATGAATAACTATAAGAAAGTGAAAATCAAAATCAACAAAAAACTATGAACCAGAGACATTTTTAGGGGGGCGGGGGCGGGAGGGGAGGGATTGGGGTCAGAATGGGGGGGGCTGCAATTGTATGGGGAATATAAAAATAAAATTTATTATTTAAAAAAAATAAAAAAAATAAAACCGTTTACCCATCAGAAGAGCAAAAGAAATAATTTTTCTATATTCATACAGTAAACACTGTTCTATTGTGCCAATTCAAGTTCTATGAAATGGGTCAACTTAAAAGAGAAGCAGCTTAGGGGAAGACATATGTGTAAGACTTGAACACATGATTTTGTGGATTCCTCACAGGAATTTTTTTTTTAAAGATTTATTTATTTATTTATTTATTTATTTATACAAACACTGGGTACAGTCAGAAGCGCGGGAGGGTGAGAGAATTCACCAGAGTCAGAGCGGAGAGGAGAGCAGGCAGACTGACAAAGTACACTGCTGAGGGGAGCAGTGGGCGGCAGGAGAGGTCTGCGCGCCATGTGGGACCCTCGCCCGGTGGCCGGGGATCGAACCGGCGCTGCAGAGGCTGTGGGCAGCTTCGCAACCCAGTGCTCAACCGCTGTACCACCGCGTATGCCCAAGAAATGTTTTTAAGGTCATGTAAATGGCACCTCCAAAGTCAGATTCCATCTCTCACTCCAATGACATGTTTAGGAAAGGAAACTTAAAGTAATTTCAATATACACATACATGCACTCTAAGGGCAAAGCAAAGTCCTGACTGCAGGATGATTCATTCCCACATAAGCAGAATCAACCTCAAGTACCCACAGCTCTTTTGAGGGACCCAGTTACCTCAAAAGTAGTAGAAACAATCACTGTCATTATGAAAAGCATAGCTTCTCCCCTGTCCTTTGAGAGAAGTTAAAAAGTCTAAACTACTGAATCTTCAAATTACTGACAAAACCAAACAAAGACACGCAGGCTACTGACGGAGTGTCGACGGGCAGCGCTAGCTGCATCCCAAGCAGACCATCGGGCTTCACAGCAAACTCAGAACCCACTAAAACTGGGCCCCAGGAAGGCATAAACTGGGGCACATTCAAGACATTCAATTTTACCCACACCCTGTTGTTTTCAGCCTACACAGAATGTAACAAGCAGACTTTTGATCTTAGGGTTAGAAGTCATGAGAGAAAAAGAAGTCTAGTAAATATCCACTCTGTGTGAGACACTTATCTCGCGCATGGTCTCACTGAGTGGCCCCAGGGTTTTGCAGCGGTATGAGCGCTACCCCCTCACGCTGGGGAAACTGAACCAAGGCGAGACGGGACACCCGGCTCAGTACACCAGGCCAACAGCCCAGCTGCTGTCACCAGGAGTCAGAGCAGCTTCCATGCACACTTACTTCTGGAGTCTGTTTCAGACATCATCTCAGTCCGTGGTTCCCAGATTGAATTCAACGAAGCTCAACACGTAAATCCCCATGATGTAAGCAAACACTGAGATATCGTGGGTCTGGGGTTCAAAAGTCTAGGGTAAGTGACATCAGACTTTCTCAGAACTTTGATATGTGCGCTGCAACTGACCAAGAAAAACCAGTGAAACGGGCAGCATTCTGCTAACTCCCCAGAGCCCAAAGCCATGTATTTAAGGGAAAACCTAGTAATAGCCCATGGGATGCTTGTACTCAGCAAGCAGAGTTTGGAATGAGACCATCTAGTCCAGTCTCAGCGGTTAAGACACTTGCTCCAGGCCACAGAAAGGGTTACTATCAGAGCCGGGCTGCACTAGGGAGGCCTATGAAGCCCCCCAAGATGCTCTTTCCCAGAACTACCCCATCCACTTCTATACTGCTTCCAGTATAGAGGTTCAACGCCTTAAAAAGGAAAAATAAAGTATTACATCAATTCTTCACTCTGACTTCTCAACAGCAGCGAGGAGAAACATCAGTAGAAACGGGATGCATATCTGGAGATACGGGAGTTGTCTACACACTAGTAACGCCAGCAGGCTGCTAGGGAAAGAGCTGCACCAGCAGCGCAAAGAGACGCTGCCAGAGTATAAGACACCCCACCTAGTAGCTTGCTCTTACCCCTCCCCCAGACCCAGGGGGTCTTTTCTCTCTGCCTTTCTCTCTGTCCCACCTCTACTGCAGTGGCAAGACCTGAGCAAGGACACCAGGTGGATAGCTCGGAATTGCTGCCTGGCCTCTGCTCAAAACCACACTGCCCTTTCTTGCTATTTGTGCCCAAGGACCTCAGCACAGCCTTCCTTTTTCTTTTCTGCTATTTATACCAACAGAGTGAAAAAATATGTTATCGGTATATTCTACTTACAAAAAGCCATGAGTCTGAAATACAATTGCAGCTGAATAGCAAACCACAGGAAGAGGAGAATGTAGCCCAGAATCATCCCAATAGAGATCCTCTTCCTCCTGCCATTCCTCCAGGGCCCTCAAGGAGCACTGGCACCAAGAGGGACATTTGAGAGCACAGCCAGGTTGGCTTCCATTTAACAGCTAAAGCAAGGGTTCCTGCAGGAATATTGCATCATTGCCCTCCCTGCCTCCTCCCCAGCCCCCAGGCTCTTCATCACTGGTTTTTAGTAATCAACAGTCAAGTAAAATGTAACCAACATTCAATTAAAATGTAACCACAGTCAAGTAAAATGTTTCAGTGTTTTCACATCTACCTTAATTCATTACACTTTACAATGATATCAGCAATCTCTTGAGGGTAGACTAGTCTCCCCATGGGTCTACTGTGTCCAGCACACCTCATTTAGTCTACTAGTAACTGCTGTGCTCAGGCAGATCTAGTATACTTGCATCATCTTCAGGGTGAAGCAAGTTTTTATCCACTTACAAACCTAACTGCCACTTAACAGTTTCTAAGGAAATTGTCTCCAGTAATCATCACATTATAACTTTTTGGAACACAATTCATTCAGAAAATTGGGTAAGGAAGGGGTCCTGTCAATCCTATCAGTTTGGCAATAAAAAGCGGGGGGGGGGAGTGGAAAATTATTTACAGCAGAAGGGGAACAGAAATAACTAATTTTTAAGAAAATGGTTAAGTTAGTTCCAGGTGCATTATAACCACAAGCTGAGTTTTCTCTCCTGTAAAATCTTCTCCACCCAAGCTCATATATGAGCTTATAAATCTTTTGTAAATTATAGATCTCGGTGATAAGGTACTAATACTAGTATTTTATTGCTGGGGCCTGTGACTCATCACTTTACATGCACTAGGTTATGTATGTAACTGACAGGTGAGAAAAACCAAGGTTTTGATTAGAACAGGAATTCAGCACAGAACTGAAGTCCCTTCTCTTCACCCAGTCACTGAACAAACAGTTGTGCACGTTCTGAAGTACAGCCCCAGCCCCATCAGTTTAGACTCTTATCTCACATTGGCTGCCACTAGTTGTAAAACATCTATCATACTCCACCGACAGGATGTTAAGGCTCAGTGGTCTTAATTAAACAAAACTGGTCAGAAACTGTTCAGAACCCCATCTGTGGTCTCTTGTCCCCTCAGGCTACTCACATATTTCTGACAGCAGCCTTAAGACCAAAGGGGCCATTCTTCCTGGAATCTGCCTGCACTCTTTATTGTGTCCTCTCACCTGCAATCAAGTTTCATTTCTAACGCACCTCTTCTGATTCCATGAGAATTCTTTCTTGCACTCAAAAGTCAAGAATCCCCGGGGTCCCTCAGCACCTGCCCCGCCCCCTCTTCCCTCCAGTTTAACAAGCTAACTCATTGGGGCCAAAGAGCTGAGGAGGGAAGGCTCTACAACCCGAACTCAGACGTGAACTCTTCAGGGCTGCGCTCTCAACAGGTGGGCGATAATGCAAAGCCTACTTTCCAGAAAGAGGTACCACTCCCCAGAGGCTCTGAAGGTAATTCCACCACCTCATCCAGCAAACAGCAGCGCAGAGGAAAGTGAGAATAACCTAGTCCTGGTGTCCTCCTGGACCCTGAAAGTCCCCTTGCCCTCTGAGCTTCTCAATTGGGGGAGCAGAGGAGGCTACTCTGGCGCCAAGAGGCCCCTAACCACAAATGACAAACTTGGGAGTACTATTCGTGTTTCGGGGAGAAGAGCTGCTGGGGCCAAAGACAGGGTGCCGAGGAGTGCCTGCGTGGCATGCTGGTAAGTGGGTTCCAAGGAATTAAGAGAAGGTGCAAGGACTCTGTCTGGCCGAATACTCCACCCTTCCAGGGACAGGAAGTCCCGCTCTCCTGAGGGCTCAGCACCAGCGACCAGAGGAAGGCAGGGTCTGTTTAACACGCCTACGCAGCTAAACACCCTCAAGCGCCTTCTTCTCTCAGGTGCCGCGTTCTTCGCGGTGTCTCCACCTAACTTGGTGGCTGCGGCTGGCTCCACTACTCTAGACAAGGGACTCCGGGGGCCGGTCTGTGCCACGGCAGTCGGGCTCGCCGCGGGGCAGAGCCGGGGGCTGAGCGCCAGCCCGACGGGCCTGCCCCGCCATCCCCGGCAGGCGGCGCCCCCGGCGCACGCGCCCGGAAGGGGCCGGCCGGCTCCACGGACAACCGCCCGGCGCGCGGGGACACGGCCCGGCGCGGAGGCCCCAGCCCGCCCGCGTCTCCGCGACTCCGCGGCCGCCCGAGGCCCGGCGCGGCGAGGGCCCGCGCGAGCCGGCGACGAGGAGGGAGCGGGAGCCGGAGCGGGAGCGCGGGCGGCCCCACCCCGCCGGCCGGCCGGCCGCGCTACTCACTGAAGAAAAGGCGGTAGGCGGGCGAGCGGGGCTGGCCGCGCTCCTCCGTGCGGTACGCGGCCATGGCGCGGCGCGGCGCGGGCCCGGCGCTCGCTCCCCACGGCCGGCCGCCCGCCCCGGGGACGCCGCCGCGCCAGCCCCGGCCCGCGCGCAGCAGCGGCAGCAGCGGCAGCAGCGCGCGCATGGCGTCCTCCGCGCACTCGGGCCCGCGCGCCCCCTGCCGCCCGCCGCCAGCACGGCCGCCCGCGCGCGCCCCCTGCCGCCCGAGGCGCCCCGCGCCGCCTGGAGTCGGCGCTGGCACGTGGTCCCAGCACCCGCCCGCTGGCCCGCAGACGGGGCCTGGGGACGCCAGAGCGGTCAGCGGTGCAAGTCCAGGCGCTGCACCCAGGACGCCGGGCTGTGCAGATGAGCAAGGCACGATGCCCTGAGGCGCTCACTGCCCCTTAGGAACGCACGCATCCACCGTTCCTTCCCGCACCCGCTCGTATTTACGACCATACCAGGTCTACTGTAACACAGCCACTGCTCTGTGGCAGGACCTGCTCAAGATGCTGCCAGTGTGAGAGACAAACACGCACACACGAACATCTGTTGGACAACGATCAGGCCTCCTTGGGAGACTTGACCTTGACCGCAACACACCAAAATACAAGAGTAACTTCCTTACATGGCCTCTAGAGGCCCCTTCCTACTAACCAGATGAGAGGCAATTTATCTTTTTTCCCCTTACACTTCCACTCTGTGAACCTATCATGTTCCCTAATTCACCTGTCCACTCCACTGTAACCGTGCCAAGCACTTCGACTTAAGATTGAGTATCCGGCATCCCTGCAGGCCTTAGGGCCCAGCCGTGCACATAATAAAGCTCCTTTGTTGCTGAATTAAATGCTCCCAGGACACTCCCTCCACCCAATCTTTCTCATTACTATATGAATTTTCCATTATTGATTTTGCAGGAAAACTGTGGAAACAGCTGTCTACAGGCGCTGTCTTCGTTTTGCCCTTCCCTCACCTCAGTCTAACTGGACTCCCTCCACCTTCTCAGGGTCATCACTGACCCCCTTGTCAAATATCATAGTCAGCTCTATAATGAATCAGTGACAGAATCAAGCCTTAGTCTATAAAAGTGAAAGCATGCACAGAAGCAATTTTAGAGAAAGTGGCAAAAAAGATGTACCCTTATCAGCACTGCAAAAAAGAAGTAAAATGTTTTTAGTTAAAAGAAGGAGTATCTGAAAAATAACATATTGATTAAAAGTACTGTAATAAAATTGGCTTATAAGTAAAATTTTAATGAGCACAATATATACATTAATGAAAATTTTAAATAGAACACAGCCATCCTTACATAAATTGTGTTAACTAATGTATAGTAATTAAGTCATGATCACAGTTCTGACCCTATTTTAAACTGGTTAACGTGTCTCAGTTCCATGGCTACAAATTAGATCCTATGGTTATTAATGTTAACAACACGGACAGGATTTTATAAAATTGGTGTCACAAACTTTTACTCATAAAAAAGCCTGAAAGCAGAAATCTTACCCAAGATGGCTCTATAGCCATCATGTAACTTTATAGGGAAGGTGTAGATACTACATAATAGCCTTTATCTAGGCAGAGGTCAGGATTTGGGTCAACATAAATGTCTGGAGGTAGATGACACAGAACTCTCCCATCTGAGGAGAGCTCTTCTGTCTTTCAGTTCTCACGTCTGATCTCTGCTTCTTAGGTCAACCTCATGGTTCAAAATGACTGCCACAGTTCTGACCATCATATACTCATTCAATCAAGCAAGAAAGAAGAAACAGATTCAGGGTTTGCCTTTTCCTTAAGAACTCATCCCACAGGGCCTCCACTTATGGCCCAGGGGTTAAGTCTCAGCACTATCATCTCTATGGCCTGAATTCAATCCCTGGCCAGGGAGCTGACCCACATATAGCATAGTAGTCCTTTCCTGTCTCACCCACTGCTCCGCTCGGCAGTGTATTTCAGTATATCTGCCTGTTCTGCTCCCTGCTCTGTTTCTTGTGAATCCTTTCACACACACACACCCCACTTCTGGCCTACATCCCAGTTCTTTCTACAAAATAAATATTTAAAAAAACACACACATTGGGGCTTCCCCGGTGGCGCAGCGGTTGAGCGCTGGATTGCGAAGCTGCCAGCAGCCTCTGCAGCGCTGGCTCAATCCCCGGCTGCTGGTGAGGGTCCCACATGGCACAGCAGACCTCTCCTGCCACGCCCGCTGCTCCCCTCAGCAGTGTATTTCGTCAGTCTGCCTGTTCTGTTCCCCGCTCTGGCTCTGGTGAATTCTCTCACCCTTGTGCGCTTCTGACTGTACCCACTGCTTGTATAAATAAATAAATAAATCTTTAAAGAAAAACAAACACAAAAAACCACACACATTCCGCAAATTGCATACACCACTTCTACTTGCAGCACTTGGTCTAATGCCCACAACTAACTGTAAATTAGCAGCAGCAATTTTTCTGCATGATCATAGGATCAGAAAAAAATTGGGAGTGGTGCTACTACAGAAAAAGGGGGAAATGAACATGGGAAACAACCGCAAGAATCAGTTTCAGTTTCGGTCCCAAGGAAAGAAGTCCAACTTCTTAGGAAAGGTGGGTGAAAACACCCCAGGTTCTTCCACCCCACTTGTGATCAGGCTTCACATGCTTCCCTCCTGAGCACTAGGGCTCTCTCAGCATCTGTCATTATTTCACTGCAGTTAATAATAGGCGCCTGGGTTACCCAAGTCCAGAAAGGATTTCCAGGAGATACGGCCACCAACTGCTCTGATTTTCTGCTTAGATTGTAGCTCCTAAAATGTTAATGTCAGGTGGTAGCTTTGTAATGCATCAACTAGAGTAGGCTAGACTGCCCCATAAAAGGCGGGGGCAACTTCTTTTGTGCATATATCACAGTGGTTGTATGAGTTTGTGGTTTCCTCATGTGAGAAAAAAATCTTAATTGTTGTGTTAACCTTTGAAGATCAGACATTTCAACAAAGCAAAGTCCTACTGAGACAAAATTGTGGACTAATTTCTGATGATATATAGATTCTTAGAATAAGATCAAACTTTCCAGGTGTCTGAATTTTTTTTTTTTTTTTAAATAGAGGCATGTTTTATTTATTTGTTTGTTTGTTTGTTTTGCTTATACATGCACTGGGTACAGTCAGAAGCATGGGAGGGTGAGAGAATTCACCAGAGCCAGAGCAGGGAGCAGAGCAGGCAGAAGGACCAAAGTACACTGCTGAGGGGAGCAGCGGGCGGCAGGAGAGGTCTGCGCGCCATGCGGGACCCTCCTCCGGTGGCCGGGGAGCAGCCGGGGATCGAACCGGCGCTGCAGAGGCTGCGGGCAGCTTCGCAACCCAGCGCTCAACCGCTGTGCCACCGGGGAGGCCCTCCAGGTGTCTGATTTTTATACATATTACTGCTTTGTGGCATTAAAACAATGGTCCTCTTAGCAAATGGCAAGAAAAGAATTTCCCCAGAGAATCTGTCCTCAAACTAACCCCATTCTCTGCTCCCTAACACACTAGTTATACACAACATGCAGTTATGCAGGCCCCAATGACTTTCCTTAGCTCTAGCATGGGATGGGTGTGAGGGACATTTACAGACATCTGCAAGATGGAAAAGTGACACAATAATCACCATTCACACCATTCACCATTCACAGTAGAAACACCATTTCTACTGGAGACAAAAATCATGGTGAGCACTAACACCACTACAGGGTCTTTGCCTACATTCATCAATGCCATATTTTAGTTAGAAATTAAAGTGAAAGTAAAGATGTCATCTCTTTAAAAATCCCAGTTCCCTGGCCCCCTAAATTGTAGGCAAACACCTAGCAAAGGGCGGGGCCATGTGTTCCTTCTCCACTGCCGGTGGAGGGTTAAGGAGCATTAGCAAGCAAAGCACGTTGGTATATCGGGTTCCTCTTTAGATGGCCATGATGGCAAAGCAGGAAGAGGTGTACCTGCTGGTCCTCTGTTCGATTTTTAAATGTTTTTGTTCCCTATTAAAGATTTTGATCCTAGTTTTCATGAAAGAAATGGCCCAAGAAGCAAACTTACCCAGCAAATAGAGACAAAATTGGGTGAAAGCTGAGAAATTAGTTTTGCTTCCCCTTGTCTGGGAAAAACAAAACAAAACAAAACTGTTAGCAGTAGGTTCTTTTCTGAATGACTTTATGTGTGAGTCCAGACCACGCCTGGAGCCATATGTCTCCTAAAAACAGAGCACAGTCAGGTCATCCATCCTAGTCCTAAAGAGATGTACAAGACATCCAGGGTTAAGCTTTCAGTCATTTTTGGCTATTTACTATATTGTATCTAATAAAATGTATCCATCATACAAAACTCACATTGGTAAATGGCATGAAAAAATAAGAAGTTTTGCTTGATTAAGTATTATTTCTGCTTCCAGGCTAAAATAATCATGAGAAATTTCAGCTCCAAATGACATATTATAAATCCCCTGTAAAATTACAAATATAGTAATCATGGTAATAGTCTAATCCAATTCAAGGGCAAGTTACTAAATTGGTAATAACAGGTCCTGAGCAAAACCTAATGAGACAACCCATTTTCTCTGCCCACTTTGTAGATTTTCCCTTGAGGCCTTAAGCAGTGGAAATTATTTTTGTTTTCACCTGGGCTAACCACAGAAGTGCTATTTCTTTCTCTTTTATACTACT